TATTTAAAAATGGCGGCCATTTTCCAAAATGGCGGCAAACATGAAAAGTGGAAAACTGTGTATTTTATGGTCTTAATGTGTGTTTATAGTCTTAGGGTGTTCCATAAGAAATTTCAAAGTTGGCCGCCATTTTGGAAAATGGCGGCTGAATTTTGAAAAACTAAAATCATATTTTCAACTGCCACAAAAAATAAAGGAATTTCCCCCATTTAAAGTTTTCTCTAATTCTTACCGTTTCCGATATCCCAATGGTGGCCTCCTTGAGTTGATCACCCTGTATATATATATATATATATATATATATATATATATATGAATTTGAACCGATGGTGTTTTTGGCCTCTAGGGACCTCAAAACGAAAAAAAAAAATCGGTCCCGGGTCCAGGTCTTACCATGAGTACTACGGTAATAGCTTATTCCCTATATGGGAAATTCGCTAAAATGGGAATTTTAAATTGAAATTTTTTTGAATTTACTCCCTTACCAATTATTGTACGAAAACACTTGTATACTAAATTATTTCTTTTTTAAGCTCTTTAAAAAAGTCTAAAGAGAAATCATGAAACTTTATGTTTTGAGGGTCAAAAATTAGAAAAACCAATTTTTACCCCATAAAACCCCATGTAAAACCCTGTGCCCATGGTCCGTTCAAGCTGGTTTGCAAACTCGTTCAACTTTATCCTGCCTTACACCTTTAAACCAAATTTCATCAAAATCGGAAAAAATTACTTAAGTTGTTCACGGACACACACATAATATTATACAAATAATTTTGAACAAATGGTGTTTTTGGCCTCTGGGGTCATCAAAATGAAAAAGTAAATCGGTCCTGGGCCTAGGTCTTACCGTGCCACTTACGGTGATAGCTAATTCCCTGTAGGGAAAGTCATTAAAACCAATCAAAGTCTTGCATAAGATTTTTAGCACAGGATAAGAGTGATTTATTGTGTTTGTTAGTTCTTGTGATCATTGATTAGGAAAACAACTGAGAAAAACGCCCATTTGAACTAGACTGATTAAATAAGTCAGTAAAACTCTAATAGAAAGAAGCATCATAGATGCATACCACATTAAATTATACCAACTACTGAATGGACATAGGCAATAGAGCAGTCAAATCTATGATACATTTTGACAGTACTTAGGTACTGTAAAATGGAAGAACAAAAAGTATTTTAGTATAAATGCAAAATATTGTCATACACATTTTCACACATTTACTAAATTTTAAAAACCTTAACCAATAATACATTACATTAGGCCAGACCAACCTTGAAAATTCCCCAGTCAGAGCAGATTCACTTTATTTATTCCACAATAGGTTAGGTATCTGGTATGAACGTTAATAATTATCCAACTCTATCATGCTTGTTAGTGATTTGACAATTTAACAAATTACCAATATTTTTAATTACTGCCTAAAATACTAACATGAGTATAAGAAAGTGTCTCATTAAAATTTGTATCCTAAAATAATACTATGACCGGGTTGATGTTCGACAAATTTTAAAAAACCTATCATGGCAGAAAGATAAATCAATACATGCACTCTAATATACACAAGACAGTTACAATACAACTCCTTACATCCGACCACCAGGAGACTGAGCCCGTGGTAATGATTTGGCATGATAAACCAACCAATTATAAAAGTGATAATTTATACCTGATAATAATAATAGATAATCAATAAGTGTAGGCAAAAGTAATGTTTATGTATCTATTTGGGATTATTAAAAAAACGTGTATGTAAAACCTATACAAAACTTAAGCTATTCATAAGAAAAGTGGTTTAAGTAACTAACATAAAAAATACAATGAATCCAGATAACATAAATCAAATGTTTTAACAATTTTCTTTCACATTGTAGATTATATCGTTTAAAAATAGTCTGTATTTTTCTTCTGATCTTTCTTGTAAATTGTTTTATTTATTTTTTGGGGAAACAAAATAGGTAATGAACTTAATAACTGCACTACCGCTACATATACTCAACCAGCTGTTTAGAGGTTAGGCCTACTAGCACAATTGAGTAGTGTTCACAGGAAAATGTAAACAAGGAGATAAGCCATGAGGGCGTTTGAGTCGAGGAAAGTAGTGTGTGTAGTTTAGTTAAGCGTCAGTAAGGGGTGAGAAATATATTTTGATGTTGGCTTCCAAGAAGTGTCCGGATAAATGGAGAACCAGTCAAACCAAGGCCTTATATTTGGGGTTCTAGTGTGATAAACTTACTGACTTAGTGTTGAATTATGATAGATTTCAATAGGACACTCCAATCAAAATCGATCACACTTTAATATCTCGTATTTGTATTATATCGTCTTGTATGTGCGTCAGTATGATTGTAATATAACTTGCATCATGCTGAGAAAGCAATTATTGTGAGCTAATAGCTTATCAAAGCAATACTAGTAGTAAGTACAAAAATAAAAAAACTATAGATGTTCTTTTATAAGGTAAAAGTCTGCAAATTAATCAATACATTAACATTTTAAATAAAAATCAGTACCAGCGGTATTTTTTAACCCAGGAGACCTTCCGAGCTCCTTTTGTAAACAACTCATGATACTTAGGTGATAATGTAACAATACTGTTATTGGTCGAAATGTGATATGAAGTTGTAGTGAGGGCTATTGATATGAATGAAGTAGTTGGGACAGAAGTGAGCTAGGTCTATGTCGAGAACTGCCAGTCGATCATAACAGTACACTCTCTCTTGTTACGGTCTCAGTTCGGACAACTTTCACATGACTCATACATTAATTACTTTGTTCATAGCAACGTTAACAAATAAGTTACAACCTGTTAGTCTTGCCCCATATGGAACATACAGATATTGTATTATTTCTTTGTTTAGTATACAACTAACAGTTGTTTTAAATCACATTTTTTTACATGTTTTCTTTCATGAAATGACTATAGGCCTATAATAGAGGGTCTACTTACCTAAACCTTAACCTAAACAATAAGAGTTAAAAAAATAATATGGAACACTGTACCTAACTGTATGACAACCCAACACAGTTTTTAACGTTTACAAGTTAATGCTTGTAATGAATAATGAATAAAGAATAACAAGTGAAATAGTAATACAACAAAAAATAAAAAATATGCTATAGTAGAATCCCGCAAACTCAGCGTAATGTGGACTGGAAGGGTGCCGAGTTTGTGAAATGCCAGGATATCAGGAACTAGGCTTAAAAATAAGGACAATATAATTTTTAAGCTCTTTAACCTCCTTTTTGTATATTACAAGTCAGTATTAAGTCATCAGATATAGTACAAAATATCCTTGGTACGAGTTGTGAATGATTTTACTTGAGCTGGCTTGAGTCCATGTTTAACTCGGACTCAAAATATTACTAAATTTCTGAGCCAGGTGATGGCCGAGTTATCCAGACTGCCGGGTTATCGAGTGCCGAGTTTGTGGGACTCTACTGTACCCTGAAACTTAACCAAAATACACAAAATACAGCAGGTCAATTTTTTTAAATCGAAGGATAACAACTTGACACATGTTTTCTAAAGGATTTGTAAAATATATTTATCTTCTCCAAACCATAACATTTTTTAAAAGTACTTTCAAACATAATCTCCTAACACAATTTTTACAAAAATAGATCGTTTTGTACAAAAATGTGTAAATATCAAAACATTATCAGGTCATTTACATTCTGAGAAGAGTTTTAAAATCTGCATTTACTATCAAAGAAAGATTTCATGGAGGTTTAATATTTTTAGAGCTAATAAAAAAATAAAAGCTAATAAAAATGTAATACTCTTTGATGACTGAGAGAGATTTCGTGAAATTGATTTGTAACTGACAGTAATTAAAAAAACACATAATGGGTGAAAAAAAGCAGCTAATATTTTATTCCTCTTACTTTAAGGAGGGTTTAAGCATAGACAAATAGACCAAATATAGACCGTGAGCTGTGCTGCGGTTAGCATAAGTTCTGGCGTCCACCGCTAGGTTTGCCGTGTAGTTACGGCACACACCGCTGCAGCGTTTGCTGGTCGCATGGTGTGCGCCATAACTACACGGCACTCCAAGCGGAGGGCGCCGGAACCTTCCTTTGACAGTCTATATTCATTCTATTTGTTTTTAGTTTAAGGTAGCGATGCATGTCGTTAAATTTCTTTTAAAAAATTATCAAAACAAAATCCTTTATGAACAGTTTTTTAAACTCTGTACACTTATGATTGGTTTTAAAAAGTAAGCATTTGCTATGCAAAACACAAATATTTGCTTCGAGATTATTGAAATTTTATATTGAAATAAAAGTGGTTGAATTCAGTTACATAGGCTAATAGCTGATTTTATTTAAAAATATTATTTCAAATCACTATTTTGTTATAATGCTTGTGCTTGTGAGATTTTTAAATTCTCTAACATAGCGATAAATTACGTTGATAGGACGACTTTAGATAGAACAGTTGCACCTTGATAACAAGACTCTCATGGGGATTGTAAAATAAGACTTGTTAACAAGGTTGACTTCTTAACGAGGTTTGTAATAACATGTGATTAGGGGTAAAATAATTTTAAGGGAATTTGAAAATTAACACTTGTTATCTAGGGTCTTCTTATCAAGGTTCCACTACTGATTTGTAATAGGCCATTAGCTGCTCTGTGATCAAACGCACACATGATATTAAAAAGAGAAGGAACAGATTTTGAGGGATTTCTTTCAACTACAAGAGTAGACACCTTAGTTCATTGTAGACACCAAAGTGTGCACCATAGAACACCATAGAGCCTCTGCAGTCAATACTTCTCTGTGACTAACTCATTTAAAATCCTACAAGCTCAGATTTATATATAAAATATTTTCCATTAAAAACATGTTTTCTCATTATGAGAATATGACATATGATGTTAATTTAAAATAATATATCAAATTCGACTACAAAAGAATGAAAACTGTTTTATCTATCACAACACAATAGACTCTGGACAGATATTTGTCCAACTTGGTCAATAAACTGATACCGCCAAAATAGCATTGTCCCCTTGAATGTAAATTAACAAATTATTATTCCATTATTTTTAACTTTCCAGATAATGCAATTCCAAATTCCAAATAATTATTATTCATTATTCAACGTTAAATAAACTCAACAAATACTTTTCTTTTCAAAAGCAAACAACTCGTAAATAATTTCACTCAAAGACACTTTGCTTACAAAGTTAACACTTCACAATGATAAGTGGAACACATACATCGATGACTGCTTAGCAAAGCGGCATGTACAGTCCGCTACGACTCCTCACTCTCTGTGCAAAGCTCGGCTGTCGTATCTACAGTTTCGTCCAGTTCTGGGAAGAGTCGTGTGAGCACAAAGAACGCAACGTCCTCGCTGCCCCAGTAAGCGGTGTGAGAGCTCAACATGTTGATGTACGTACGTGCACTCACGCCCAGCGAGCCAGACACCTTTATAACATAGTCTAGCCGATGCTCCAGACCTACAAACAGATATACATCCATAGAACATGGACAATTTGTAAGTAAGTAAAAAACCTTTCTTTTGTTTGAAGTTCACTTTTTCACATGGTAAGATTATATTATTTGAGAAACTATTGCAGTTATTTTCCATCACAATTTGTAAAAGGCAAGTTTTCACACTTTCTAGCTTTGGGAGTTTTGAGCTAATCTTTTCATGTTTTAGGTACTTTCCCGTCTGAGGAGATCAGATTCTAGATCCTGAAACGTCGCGAATACAATAGCTTACTAGCTTATTTTGCTAATTGTGGAAGAAAATGTCTGCAATGTTGCAAGTACAGTACTTTATGTAAATAGCATATATTGTGTAGATTAGGAAGAAGTTGTAAAAAAATCTAACCCCACAAAATAGTGCAACTCAAACATGGTCAATTGATAACAGTGGATAAAAATCAATAAACACAAATTAGTAAATTCTCAAAAGACTAAAATATAAGCTATTCAGTGCAGCAAATTTGGAATTTTACAGTTTAGAATTTATTTTACTAAGGGAGTTTTACTTACAGTGTCTTAAAAATGGTTAGGGACAAACCATAGTATCAGTCAGGATGAGGAAGCAACTAGGCAAATTAAAACCCAAATATGAATGAAAGATGAGTGTTATGGAAATGCGATGTTTTTGGAAGTTTTTTAGTGACAAAGGAACAAACATAATTAAGTCCAACAATAATGATCAGGCTAGTTCACCATCAAAACTACTGATATTTGTAAGGTAAAGTAAGTGACCTACTTATTACTGGGCAAGGAATATGATACAGTCAGCTTCCCAGCTAAATATTGAATGAGTCACTTTTTTATGTCATTAGTACGTATGATTATTAAGATATGCATGGATTGTAAGACAGGGATTCAGCAGAAGATAAAATCATGTTTTAAAATAATGAAAATTTTTTGTCCAATTTGCTAATTTTAAAAGGATTTTTCTTTACATTACCAAGTGATTTTACTAAACCACAATTCAAGTTAACCATCTAACTTATCTTTTTTGAAACTTTCTCATAATTTTCCAGGAACTGATTAGGAACTAATACAAGCAACTAGCAACAGATGGCAAAAGCTGAACACCAACAAATAGATTTAAGGAATGAATTTAAATTCCCCGTTACATTACAAAAAAAAAATCATCGATTGACTTTTGTTCAGGTACTGTGGAATGTTCCAACTGCTACAATGCAATTATGACTCCCAAGCTTCAGACCACAAATCACACTTCTCACAACCACAATCTATCTGTACTTACAACCAGCAGTCTGGGGGAAAGAGTTCAATTTCATAAGAAGCCTTAAACAAAATGCTTCAGCGGGAGTTACTTTTGAATCAGCTGAAAAATTAAAATGTATAAATAGCCTATAGGTATTTTGGAGTGCTGTGGCTGACTAAAAATCAAAACCAAAGTTACTTGAAAACTAAAGGTGACAAATAAAATAGATAAATAAAAAGGGTTATGCCATATTGATCTGACGTAACATTCGTTTATTGGAGGACAAAATAGCTAAGTGATATTTTACTGTATGCAAAATTAAGAATTTACACCCTTGTAAGCTTAATTCTTTGTTTCCAGTTAATTTTCAATGAGGATGGACAGTTCGACAGGTAACTGACCAATGAGGTTCAAAGATTGAGAGAGAAGAAGTAAAATTTGTATAATTCTAACTTCAACTAATCAGCTGTTCAGGCCAATTTAATTGTTGAGTGGTGCAATTAATGTTTGGTACAATGTTTTGTTGCATCACTGTCAGTTATAAGTTATAAGCAGTGATTTTTGGTACCTAATTAAAACAGTGTCATAGGTAAAAAGTAGTGTACGCAACTTGCGTAAATAGTGTTAACGACACTCGTAGAAGTTTTTAAGGCACTCCCCAAGGTTTATACCTCAAATCTTCTACTCTTGTCGTTAACACTATATCTACACAATCATTGCATAAACTACTATTATCATAAGATAAACATAATAGGTTTTTTAATGTTTAAGAGTTGATACAAAATTAATTAAAATTTCAAATGCGTCAAGTATTTCTATTATAGAGTAGCACAAGAAATGTTTCATGGTTATGGTCTAAAATGTTTCCTAACAGTTTGTACAAAAATATTTTTCACATTTGAAGACATTCAGTTAAGTTACCTCGTGTAGGAGAGTCCATCGGCTGAGGTGACGCGGCCCCATCAGCACTTCTGTTGGCTCCTCCCCTCACCAGGTTCCAGATACTCCAGCCGCGATCTTGTATATAGAACAACAAAACTCAGTGAATAACTGTAATGTTCAGAGTTTATAATATTATAAAGACTTTTAGTGAATTTTTATATCAAACAAGATCAACCAAATTTAGTCCACTGAATTGTGAGAATCAATATTTTAAATGTCTAAAATTGGGATAGTTAATTGGCATATTGGCAACTTGAATGATTGCTAGTTAAGAGACAATAAAAAGACCATTAAGTCACATATTCTCATGTCAAGGTCCTTAAGAGAATACAAATTTTGCATGAGAAAGTTTTGTATGTCAACTGAGTAAAATACAATTGCATCTTTTGGTTTATAGAAACACAAACTTTGGATTTTTGCCTGGATAAATTATGAAAAGACCAGTTAACCTAGCCGAAGTTTTGCAGTCAATCAAATGTCAGTCAAATGTTTGGCTTGAATCAATTCTCTGTGACATTGGCTGATATCATAAAACCATGAATAATAGTAAAACCACTCCTAAAAATTTGTCATTTTCCGCTAAAAATGTCTGTCCACCTATATGCCCTTTATTCATTGTGCATTAATCCAATTGCTGTAAAACTTAAAATAAATGTTCTACAAATACCTGGGGAGGTTAAAATGTTTGAAAATTAAATAAAAAGGTTAAAATACCTGATTGTTACTTTGTGGTACAAGGTTTGTCCTGCTGGATTATGCACAAGGCGACAATAAGGTGTTTTAAACTTTTTATTTAATTGTCAATCAATTGGTCCGGAAACACCACAACAAAAAATTAAGTTAAAATGTTTCTATCTTATTAACAGAAAATTGTTGCTTTAACTAAAATCTACATGTATCAGATGATGGTATAGTAGTGCTGAAACAGCCTTAACATCAGTTAAAACTTTTGAACTGATTGACCAAGGTAAAGCGAATATTTTAGCTAAATTTGCCATATTCCTTTTCAATTTCAATCCCTCAATGCCATGTCTCGCAGACTTAGTAGAGAATATCAGTGAACAAGAATTTATGTAATAAAGACAGTCTTAACGGCCAATAGCATTACTACTAAGAATTCAAGAAAATATGTGTTGGGCATATCGGTTGTCAGCATTAGGCTAACCTCTGATAGGTGTCTCTGCTGGGGAGCTGTCCTCCTTGGGTGTGGTGTTGGTTGTTGCTGGCATGCTACCATTGCCTTCCCTCTCCTTGGTCATGCCTATCTCGTGAGGGTCGATAAGCTCCAGTGGCATATCGCTATATGGTATCCGGTGTGGAGAGTTACACGGCCAGATCCGCAGCGGTGCAATTCTAGAGTAGTCTTTGACCACCAGCGGCTCTAGCCTGTCATATACACATCCAACATGTTCAAGTAGAATAAAAGTGTGAAATATTTAGCAAATATTATGTTCTTATGATTTTCTTTCCACCATTGACAATTCTAGTAGTTTAGTATAGTGTTGGTGTAGTGTATTGGTTAATAAGTAAGAATACGTTGTAATTAGAATTAGAAGAATTATTTATTTGTCATTGGACATTACAAAAAATGCATTGACAATTGTCATATATATAGCATGGCTACAGTCAGGCTAGACATTACAAATGACATGTCTAATATGTTAATTTTTTAGGTGTCAGCTCTGTGGATTACCAACAGTATGGAATGTGATTTAACAATAAATACATCTCATAAATAAATATGATAATTTAACAAAGAATAAATTATATGAACCAACAACCAAAAATAGTGATAACAGATATTAAGATAAAAATTTATAAAAATTAACAAATGCAACAAATGTTGATGGACAATTAAAAAGGGTAACCACCTGTAGGCCACAGCATCAGAGATATGGAACACATTGTAGAGTCTGTTACACAGGGTGGGAGGGAACAGGTGGTAGCCGTGTTGACCTTGTGGATACCTCAGTGCTAGGAATACAGCCAGAGGTGATCCTAGCATAAACAGGTTGTCCACCTGAACATCAATAATCAGTTACCATAATGGAACAGGCTGTCCACCTTAATACTAAAATAACTAATAACATATAAGTAAACTTTTCTCTTTATTTAACCACAAAGAACCAGTTTTAGCTACAAATATTAAAAGCATGTCTAACATGGATAAAATTAAGATAGCACTATTTGCTTCTGTGATCAGATGTGGTGTTGTGGATGAACCATCAAAACAACATCATAGATATGATTCATGATCAGAAATCAAGGAAAGGCCAATTGGCTGATTAAGATTATTATGTACAAGGATAGGGATCCGCTAGCTTACCTGGTAGATAAGAGTCCAGACCAGATTAGCTTTGGTAACACATACAAAATACATAGCACAAAACAGTGAAACGTTATATTTCGCCCCTGTTAGGGACTTCACCAGAAGGGAGAAGAAATAAGACTGGCAGTTAAACTTCAAATTTCAACGACAAAATTTTAACTTTAACTGACTTCTTTCTTCTCCCTTCTGATGAAGTCCCTAACAGGGGCGAAATATAAAGTTTTACTGTTTTGTGTGGGTTTACCAAAGCTAATCTGGACTCTATCTACCAGGTAAGCTAGCTGATCCCTATCCTTGTACATAATAATCATGATCACATAGGTCAGTTTGACAGTGGTGCATAGAGCTACAATCCTTCCAATCAACCCATCAAACATCAGGAGGCAGAACTATAAACAGGTTGCTGCAGTTCACTAAGCAATTCAAGATTGGCAGGCTCTGAGCAAGGCCACACTAAATAACAGGCCGTAATGCTCATCTGGCATCACATCCGGCAAAGACGTAATTTTTGCCGTTCGTGGTCAGCTGCTTGTTTTAATATTTTCTTGGAAAACAAAAATATAACTAAAAAAATAACATTACGTCATTGCCGTAGCCTATGATGACGTCATACCAGAGGATCATTACGGCCTGTTTATTTCGTGACTAGTGTTGCCTTACTCTGAGGCACCAAATAGCAAGTGCATGAAGCCCATGCATGTGGTTAGATGTGCTTTGATCCAAACAATCAAGACTGCATCATTGCTTTAATATTGTGATAATCTTACTTGATAATGGTAGCATTGTCATTATCTCTACTGATCGTGGTGATATAATGATATATTGTCAGCAACAGTAGTGACATCGTGAGTTTCTGCAATTGAGCCAACTACTCTGGTGTCTCCAAAGAATCAAAATAACATCCCAAGATTCCCATCCAACATTTTAAAAATATTAAAATCCTGAAGGAACTAAAAGTGTTATGAATTATTGACTCATGATTGAATACAGCTAGTTATGTCCCTTGAACATTTCCTTTAGGTAAAATTAAAATTTGATAGAAAGTCTAAGTGGTAATTTGGGGGTTCTCTTATGCATCAAAGATGCTCATCATTAAACCATCCAAACAAAATATGAAGCCAAATTAATTATCTTCTCTCATTTTGACATTAGTTTACAGTTCCTGTAAAATTTGTGACAGGAATATACAGTTACCATATATGAAAAATGTAGACTTACGTGAAACTTTAATCTCGATTTTCCAGGAACTATTCCTTCAGGTACTTTGTCATATACTATGTTTGGTGGACTCTGAAACAGTGCATACCAATTAACAAAAAAAAAAAAAAAAAAAAATAGGACTAAGTGAATATTTGTTACTAGGTACTTCAACTACTAAAAGTCAACACACCATTGAGCGTAGTTTAAGGTGACGAGAATTGACATAACTAGCCAGTATCAAACTGTTAAAAAACATTTCTCAGAATTGAACTGGCAACCTTCAAACAACTAGGCAAGCACTATAAACGCCCAAATTCCCAGCAACTAGGTTTTATACATGAACTTAATATTGAGCAACAAGCATATTTTAGTTTTGTTAGGTTCATTAATACTACCTCCTTACAATAGTGCATCTGCAGACAAAGATTGAACTTACCATAGGCAACCAACCGGTGATGATGTCATAAACAATGACACAACCCAAGGAGTGAGCAACCACGGACACTTTGACATTGAGTGAAGGATTCCTCTCCACAAACATGGTGTAAAGACGGTTGAGCTCTGTGATCAAACCTACATCACGGTCAATGTTAGTTACAATCAGTTGAAAATAGCAGCCTGATTTTTAATGATATAGTGTACAGCTTATGCATATTTTAGAAAAAGCAAGGGTTATAGTGGAACACATGTGTTTCAGATTTCCATCGTTTTGTTAGTTCAACAGCTTTAACACATTATTTCACAAAAGATTTGAGTTTGGACATAAAAACATTGAAAACTCACATCGGTTTTGAGAGTGGACAAACTTGATCAGCCACACAGAGGCAAAACTCAGTACAATAAAATATTTCAATTGACGAATCAGTCTACTAAACTTCCATTCAGCTTAATGACTTAGTTGTCCATTTTGTACATAAATGCATGGCCGTTTTCAACTCTCCTAACACTCCTGACTTTATTTGTAGCTTCCCCTCTTCTTGGAGAACTCCTATCTTTTCTGTAACCGTTTTACCCAATTTTTGTTTAAAAGTGTCTCTTTTAACACTCTTGGACGTTCTTGGAATCTAAGAGGATAAACAGCTCGGCATACATGGTGTGATGAATTTTTAGTATTGTCAATAGGTGCAGGATTATGGCTAAGACTGTGATACAAAGGTGTAACCTTAAGCCTATAAAACAAGTTGAATACAATAATGAATTCAGTTTGTTTATGTTATGGAAGTTTAAATACTGTAGTTTTAATTTCCTCCTCCTGATGTATGACAGTAGATTTATGTTGTTTTTAAAAAACCTACATTTATATTTATATTATATCATCCTAAAAGGTTGTTGTCACCCAGAATGAAGCAACAAAAAAGCATTGTCGTCCAAAAAAGCATAAGGAAACCTAAAGAAACCGATCTTACCTTTTTGTATCTCTGCACAATAGATAGGGCTTGTGTAGTACATGATGTCCATAGCTGAAGTGTTGAGGAGGTTGCGCAGCTGTGTGAGATGAAGTGGGGTGATAGCCTCCACTAGCCCTGCAATACACATCATATTGATATATGGGAAATATCTCGTTCATCTTTGCATTTCTAGACAGTAGGTTACATGATTACACTCAGACAACAATGCAATGCTGTGTATTTTAGGTTGAATGTGAAGTTTGAGTTAGAAAGGAGTGCAATGATCTGTGTAGCTTTGTTTATGACTAATATTCGCTGTTTCTATGGACAAAGCCATTTACCAAGAACCAATGATCAAGGACATCTGGATCCAGTTTCTAACTATCATTAAGCTTTTCTCAGAGCCGAACCTCTTATTTTGTTTACTCAGCACCACACCTCACCACTTGGCTAGTCAGCCCATTTCATACCAGAAATAGACAAGTAGAAATCAAAATGCAAGGGAAGCTGTCATTGCACATCAAATTAAATTTTCCAAAACTGTGATAGCTTTTCATTGTTGGACCCAATGATGTGATTTGTAGGCTGAAAACACATGCCAAATAACTACCTAGAGCTACAAACTAAATAACACACATTGAGTTGTACCTACCTCCATCTAATGTGAGATTGGTTCGCCATTCCACTGGGAAGAACTCTGCTCGTTGGTTAGAGTTTGGGTACAGCTTCTCATGCAAAGAGGTTACATTCTGTCGTATCCTGTAACATAAACAGACAATCTAAGTGTAGTTAATATAGAACCATCGACTAATCAAAACAGCACAAAATGTTATTGGAATCGTAATGTTTGTCTAACTTTCAAGCATCTCATACAAGTAATACGAGTACATTTCATGAAAAAATCATGTTAGTATTTATTAGATAAAAATACAGCAAATAAAATCTCAAACATTGGAATACAGTGCAACCTCTCTTAACCAAAATAAAAAGGGGAGGAGTAATTTTGGTCTAATATATGCTTTTTCAACAAGTGACGAGAATAAGGCAATAATGTAACTAAAGTACATGTTAAGGTTACAAAATGTACTTAATGTATGTCTGTTTGATCAATCCATACATTGGTTAAAAGTGTTTTGGAAGAAAGAGGTTCTAATGTATTGCAAAAAACTTTGTAGTTTACAATTGTACTGTTGAAAATCCTCGACGAGGATTTCATTAAAATTTAATAAAATTAAATTAAGGAATTATTAAATTCAAAAAAAGGATTTATTAAAATCAAATACTCAAACAGTTACTTACAACGACGTGTTGTGCAATATTCGTCCACCAATGTCCATCTTCTGGCCAATACCATGCACCACAAACACCAGGTGTGAGATGTCCTTGGGTTTATCCTTGTCTGTGGCCGCATCTTTGTAACCTCTCAGCAGTCGATACCCAGACTCTACAAAACACCATTATTATAATATCATTAGTTGTAAAAATTAATTCATGATTTAATTTCTATTTGTTTGAGAATTGAGACAGTGAAACACACTTGAGGAGGGGGTATGGAAAGTAATCAGAGTGTAAAAAGTTGGCAAAGTGTAGTAAGGACTCTCTCTTACCCGGACACCTAAAAAAAAAAAAATCTGACCTTATATCCAGACATCAGCTTAACCAAACTACACTCGGGAGAAGTGACATTTCTTTAACCGACAGAAATTGGGTAGTACTTGAGTAATATGAACAACTGTTATCACTATTTAAAAAAAAATGACTGAATTTTTATAACATACTGGTGACTATGTAAGCTACAAACGAAATGCTGACCAGGACAGACCCGGAGGAGACAAAGATGCTAAAGTAAATGTCAATGTTGGTGAATCCGACACTGAAGGACTTCATGGAAACAATGTTCCTGCCATCTTGGAGGCAAAAACATTGCCATCATCAATCAAATTAGGACCAGGTTTGAAATTGACCAAACAGCGGAACAAACGGAACTTGGAGCAGAATAGAAACGTTACCAGCAAATCATTGTAATAACAGACCAAGTAACTCAGCTACGATTGTGGTTGATACCTTTGTTAGCTATATCGGGACTTATAAAATTATACTCTTCAGCTCTACAAAGTGTTCTTTCATCAAAAAAGAACTCTGTCCCGTTAAAAGATACCACTAACCAGCGAAATCCAACATCATTATTGGAACAAACGAAGCGAAGGATAAACTTAAATCAGCTTCGACTAGATCTTGTTTCTTAGTTTCTCATGTATCACAAAGTACAACGTGTGAAGAGGTCCTATCCTTCCTCAAGTCTAAAGGTGTGCAGGACGTTGAGTGTGCTGATATCAAAACTAGATTCGCCAACTACCGATAATTTAAAGTAGGGATTCCAAGTGATCCAGACAAATTCATTTTAGATCCGAATTTCTTGCCTAAGGGTGTCTTAGTTAGACACTTCCACCCATATTGCCGCAACAGAAACTACAATCAGAAGCCTTTTTTAGGCAGAACTATCTACAGGACTCTAACAACCTAGACCTGACCCCTTCTTTAATCAGTGATCGCAGGCCTAAGCTACAGACACATTTTAACAAATGTGAGAACCTGTAAGTGTGAAAGTGGCAGTGAGAAGCAAACAGTGTGCCTTTCCTTGTGTTGCTGAGCACTGCCTACAACATGGTGAGTCAGGCTTTTTTAAAAATGGCGGGCTTGCCATATTTGCTGCCAAATCATTCACATACTAAAGATAAACTTAAATAATTTCTGAATTGAACATTTTTTGAAGTGACGGCAGTGGAAAATGTTGACATTTAAAAGCACGCTTATTGTGACTGTGTATCAATCCCCTGATGGTGACTTTGATGCTTTCTTTAAGCCAAATGGACCCATGCCTAAGCCATATTACTAGATCTTAGTCAACCAAACTGATAGTATGCGGTGACTTCAATGTTCTTTTAGAGAGACCTTCAGTTGATGAAGCCTTGTTTGTGAACCTGTTCCGCAGCTTTGGACTATACATCACCTCCAGACTCCCAACAAGAGGAGAAGCCTGGACACTGCGGTATCCAATATTGACTCTTGGATTTGATGTCAGAGGTCATCCATCGCATGTCAGTGATCACAACAGAGGACTAGTCCTTACGCTTGGAGTATCCAAGGTAAGCAACAAACCTCACTGGTTGGATTCATATAAAGTAGAAATACCCCCACCGCAGCAAACCTGCAGACTTAGCGGATTTCCATTTGCCTAATTGAATTTTTACTAAAATATCATTTTTATTCCCTATTTAAAAAACATTAGTTAAATGACTTAGGTTTACTGCTAAAGAGAAGGTACGGTAATAAAGTATTTTTATAGTTCAATGTTCATAGTATAGTAGTTAATAAATTCCAAATTTGATAAAAAAGTGTTTATAAAAGTGTGATAAACAAGCAAACTGCAGCAGTTTACTTATTCTCCATAAGAATAACATGACAATTTTAAATTAACAGATTTTTTAGAATTTTCTCTTTAAACGGTCAAGCGCATGACAACACTTCAATTACCGTAATATATTATTAGTTTTTTTAAGCTACTAATAATTTTGAAATATTCAATAATTATTAATTTATAAACACAAAGATATGTTATTATTTAGGTTTATTTCAAAACCTATAAATTTATTGAACAACTATTGTGTAAAGAAGGGAAAATTTTATTTATTTAACCACAAAAACCAAATGTTTACTGATGAAAGGACATACATATTGATTGACATTTGTTTGAATGGTTGGTTCATTTAGGTTAATTGAATTATCTGTTTGCTGTTCCTCCATCAATTGATAATCAAAGAGATAACTCAGCCTTGAATATTTATGTCCACCCCATTTTAATTAAATTTCAATCAACATTTTAATTGATTACAAAGATCAACTAGGAGCAATATAATTATTTTGTTTCGGTGACATTGTTTTCCCGCAAACTTTCAGTACTAAATAAACATTCAATCGTTAACAACTTTATTCAAATATCAAGGAGTCACTATCAAATGACATTATTGTACTTGATAGTTTGAAAAAGATTTGCAACATTTAAATTACTGAAATAACAAGAAACAAATTATAAACCAAACACGACTTCTACAGTACACCGCACAGAACTAACAATAAAATTGTCTTCAGCTGTTCTATAAGGATGAGAAATTTACTAAGGGAGTTTCCTTTTTTATTATCTACAGTATTATAATACGTGAAGTCGATTTTTGTGAACACTTCTCCTCCTTTATTTGTGGAACAATTTCAACGTTTGAGTTGTCAACAAAATTGTTCTTAATTTGTAGTTTTGCAATAAGGTTTTAGAATTCAAAAATTCTTACCCTTAAGGGCGTGAGGTACTATCAAAGGTAGTTTTTTTCTCATAAGAATTACATAGAACAAATTTTAAAACAAAAAACATCTATTTATTAAAACAAACTCAGTAGGTTATTTGGAGTAAATATTGATGTTTATAATATTCAGGAGGTTATAGACCAATGTAACCAGTTAATCAGTTTTGTTGGATGAACAGAAAATGTCTCGAGTTCAAAGAAGAAGAATTGAAAACAGGAGGACACAATAAATAAGAGATCTTATGCATATGAGAAGAGTAAAAGAAGACAGGCCTGGTCTAAAAGTAAGGAATCCAGATACACACTCACTTGGTGAGATGAATGAATAATACTTAAGTTATTAACAGCTTGAGTATTTTCAATAGTTACAAAACCTTTTGGTTGAGTCTAAAAAACTCATAGAAAATTATGACTGTTATTAGTAAAAACACAAATGTTTTTTTTCTGTACACTAGCTCTTAATACTGTTGAATCTTTTCAAAAATAATTAAAACACAAAAACTCACTTTTTTGGAAGTATCCGCCAAGCCGAGACGTTAGGTTGCGCACGATCTTGGAAGGCGTGGCTTGACTGTACAAGTAGACCTCGTTGGGAGCGTACCAGTCTATGTGGTTATCCGACAGTACTGCTGTGTGAATCACTAGACAAACAATATATAATTCAACTACAATTCTTGGATTGACAATAGGCTGTATACTCTAATCAATGTCTTTTTAACTGTGAGTTTAAATACTTAACCATTACAAATAAATAGATCAGATTGTATTCATGCAATGGTTTACTCCTCCACCATTTCTGAATCGATTTTGACCATTCACGACTTATTCGAAAGAGTGTCACGTAGATTTGCAAACTGTCCCTTTTAAACTTTTGTAAAAAGTCCCTTGGGCAAGTTCCCATGTTATCCTCATGAAGAACATATTTGTTTACATTATGATCAGCTGGATAATATGCTAATTGCTGTTAATATTTAAGTTTCAATTCAAGGAAACGCAAGTATAAACATTTACTGATTTGGTTGAAATTAAATATTTACTATTTGAATTTTAGGTTTCCGTACATATTACAGTGGGAAAAGGTGAGAAAGCCAGGACAATTAGATATAGTTCACCAAATAAGAAAAATGAATCGACACTGTACTGTATTTCTTGAGCAATCCTTGAAAGAACCGATTTGCAAACTATGGAAACATAAAATACTCCGCCGTAGAAAACCTGCCGACTAAGTGAATTACCATTTGTCTGAATTAATTTTTAGTTAAATCTATTTTAAAAAAACATTAGGTTTAATGAGTACCTAGGTTTGCTGCTACAAGGAAACTTATAAAGAGAGTTTTTTTTTAAATATAATTAGCTTGGTATAAAAGAAAATAAACTTGCCAAGTTTGATCCAAATATATCAATAAACAAGTAAAACTACAACATTTTACAATATTCTCTATAAGAATAACATGGGAATTTTAAATTTACAATTTTTTTGAATTTTCTCTGTTACCAATAACCGTACAAAAACACTTTGATATAGTAAATTATTTGTTTTTTAAGCTCTTTAAAAAATTCTAGAGAGAAATTGGGAAATTTTGTGTTTTAAGGGTCAAACTCATTCAAGTTTATCCCGCCATATACCTTTAAACCAAATTTCATCAAAATCGGACAAAATTACTCAAGTTATCGCGTTCATGGTTGTATACATATACATATAACAATTTGAACGAATGGTGTTTTTGGCCTGTGGGGACATCAAAATGAAAAAGTCAATCGGTCCTGAAAGTTGTAAACATTGGTGACAATGGTGGTAGCCTACCATGCAGGCTACATTATAAATAACGAAGATTGATTATTTGTGTAACTCGCGTTTACACATTATATTTTTCCTACAGTTACTATAAAGCATATAAATAATTAGTCTTCCAAACACCTAACAACACATTTTAGGTTAGGTTAAATCCAAGTGTTGAACAAATTAAAATGTCAACACGAAACAACAGGCTAAATCGTAGTATCAGTAGTCAAAGGTTGGGAAACGCTGCACCAGCTGATCGTAGTCGTAGTATTTTTAAGTGTTGCCAACCAACTTGTTTTCAAGCGTACACATATTACATGCCTAATAAAAGCACACTATTTTGTGTTGTTTGGTTGGAATATTGGATTGCGGCAAAGTAAAATCAGTGCAGCAAAAGTACAAAGTAAATGCAGCAATTAGCTACTTTGCGTGCTATAATCAGAACAAGGAAACCCACTTTGTCAGGTAAAAAAAAAGGAAAAAATATTTCTTTTTTTATTTATTTATAATCATACTTAGACATTGTTACGATCTTATTCAATTACTACAACCCCTATTAAAAACCTAATAATTCCCATCTCCCATCCTAATTAATGGCCATTGTATTCCCATTCCCCATGTGAATATTGCATCATTCGATTTAAATCCTTATACCGGTCTGTGTTTCTGGAAAATATAAAATATTTTGTTGTAGTTAGATAATAGGTATTACAAGCTGCTATACCCGTGCTTTGCAACGGGAAGAAAATGTGACCTAGAGAGCTATTAAAGTAATTCTGATGTGTGCTTTAATACGGCAAGTCTATGATTTAGTTTGAAAATATAAACTGATTTAAAAGTGTAAACCTACTTACTTTCAAACTTCTACTTTTTATGTTAATAGATTGAAAAGTATATGACAACATACCTTAGTGTGCATCAATACTACCAGCATCAATTGCTTAATATTGATGCTTCACGAATGACATGTTTTACCATAATTCTTCAAATTTAGTCAAGCCTCTTTACATGTAGCTTACTATATAAATTACAAAATGAAACTTTGAGCAACACTTTACAAAACGTATACAACCTTTCTTTAAAACCAAACATAACCCTCCTAAATCTACATAAAGCATTACACTTTTTCGAGTAAATAAACAAACATCAGTCATTGTACTGACCAGCTGTTCCATTATCTAAATTAAATTCAACTTTGGAAGCATGCCAGGCGTAGCCCTTTGGAAATCAGCCTGTGGGGCAGAGCCCTTCGGAAATTCATCCATATCAATACTTTTCGACAAATCTACACACTCTAAGCTTCATTTTGATGTGACATATGCCTATATTTTTATTTGGTAAATGGCCTTAACCGTTTACATAAAATTTGATTGTATCACTTTAATAATATAATAGATTATAGATAGTCTGCAAGAAACCAAATGTCTGTATCTGTTAAATAAGTTTGTTCATTTGATGGATATGTTCACAAACTTTAATCACGCTTGAGTTAAAACTAAAATACTAATTAATTATCATAAGCTGTTTGCAGTTTGTTTTAACAATATAAGTACCCATTGTGTTACAATTGTGTAATTGGAATTGTGTACAAATTTGGTGTATACGTACACTACAAAACCATATTATATTAATCACTGTTAATAATTAAACTAATTTCTTTAAAGAAAAGAGTTGGGAAGATTTTTTTTCATTCATATGAAGTTGACTTTACCATGACCTACTATCCTCATTGAAAGTGACTGACTCTGAAAATATAGATCAATGGTTATTCAAACACCAAATGTTTCCGTTTGATAAGTCTTTGTGTCTACTTTCTTATCGTTGAGGCAGTGACTTAACAAACACATGAACCCAGATAAGGGTCCAATTTAATAGACTAGAGTGCACTGTGACATCAGCCTAATTTTAGATAATGATTCAACCTCATCATTGACTATCAATAAATAAACATTATTTCTGTCTAATAAGAACTGGAATTAGACTCAGAGATGGAAAATTAGGAAGCATATTTAGTATTATTTGATTGGTAGCCTACATTAACAAACCTAAAAAGTTACAAATTATCGTTAGAATACAAATTAGATCAAATTTGTATTAGACTTTAAATTGCATTAACTATTCAACATCGGGTTAATAGAAGTTACGTCCCTGATTTTATTGAAAATAGTTGTTGATTAGTAGGTATCTTTTAAGACCCTATCAGTAGTTTGTACCACTGGAAAAAACTCAAAGTTTAATATACATTGTTTTAAATACAGTACATATTAGCTGTTTGCTGAGTCAATTGATATCGCTGTAGTGTAATAGCTGAATTGGAAACCAGAAAAATCTTCTTTTTTTTATTATCTCATCAACCAATCAGTTACCCAAAACATGATTTAAGAACTAAATTGAATGAAGTTTTTTTCTTGCAATCACTCTATTTATTCCCAAGTAGTAGTCTTCGAATTGAAAGATTTCTGGCTGCGTTTAATGAAATCAACCCGAAGGCACTATAGAGTCATTAAGTTGTAGAAACAGTGATGGAAAAATGTTATGCATAGTAAATGTAAGTCAGCAAAGAATATTGTATACCATAGTTAAAAGTTTGAAAAATCTCAAGTAAATATGTGAAATTAGATCTTAACTACTCTTGTAGATAACTAGTTAGTTCATAATCAAAATCTCAAAACGTTATCTGTTCTTCAAACTCAAACACTTAAGTGATTTCATAGTAAAATCAAGAAAAAAGTTAAATTTTGTATAAAACCAATCATGTGTAAGATAGTGTAGTGTCAAGTTATTCATAAACCAAGAATAATTATTGTTTGTTACCAACAATCCAATTATACACTTAATCCTCAATGTGTACCCCACATAACTCATCTTTGAACATTTACTTATGTAGGTTATCTAAAACACGACCCCACTGTAAATAGCTCTAATGTCTCACCATTCTAAAACTCATAAATAATAAAACATAATAATAATACATTAATTGGGTGTGTTGCGCTAGCCAAGTGGTTAACGTGCTCTGACTTTGCTGCGGGAGGGACGGGTTCGATTCCCGGCACATCCATTTAACATTTATTCTCTCATGACCTCTCTTGTGAAATGCCACAGGCGAAGATAAAAATATACGGTATCAGCAATCTGACAACAACCTTTATAAGCAGTGGGTAAGCGGTGGGAGTAACTATGATATTTTATAGGGAAAAATCACAAAGTTGCAATAACTTTGAACCGTAATTGTTACAGAAATGGGGGGTTGCACTATTTTGTTTAGAATTATAAGGACCATAACACAATTTTAATCAAAACCAGCGTTTTTCCTAAAATCCGATTTTTTTGTTATTTTGTGGGTTTTTAATGTGAAAATAACATAAGTTGCAATTAATTTTTGAACTGTAATTTTTACGGAAATGTGATTTGTACCATTTTGTTTAAAATTCAAAGGAATACAACATAATTAAGTTTTATATATGTTTATAAGTTTTATTTATGTTGTAGCCCTTTAAATTGGAAACGAAATGGTAGAACTCCCATTCCTATGAAAATTACGGTTCAAATGTTATTGCCACTTTTTTGATTTTTTCCCTATAAAATATACTAAATTTTTATCAAAATCGTTCAGGCCATTTCTGAGAAAATCTGATTTTTCCATTATTTTATGGGTTTTTATAGGAAAATCACCATTAAAAATCTAAATTTCAAAAAATTTATAAAAAACACTTGAAAATACCATGGTGTACCAACCAAACTTCATCAAAATCAGACAACAGGTGTGGTCTGTGGCTCTGTACACATCAACATACATACAGACATCACTTCGAAAACCACTTTTTAAGGTTCATGAGGACCCAAAACTAATACATCCACTCAAAACTCAAACTTGAAAATGTTGACAAAAGCAATACTTTCTCCATAAACTATGTACCTATAGGAGAGAAAGTGAAAATGCACAAGGTAAGAGGAAAATATAAAGAGAACATATTTGTTGGATCCGATGCTAGTCTATGATTATAATCAATGAAACTAATTACAATGTCCAAGCCAAATCACCAAAGTGGTTTGAGCAATAAGAGAAAATTACTTGAGATCAAAAGGCCAATTGACTTGATTGCCCGTCCTATATCCGGCCTTGCCTACGGTTTACTGTATTGTACTGTGATACATAACAACATAAGGTATCTCAACAATACCTTCAGAAAATTTACAACAGAAAAAACATAATATCTAGATGTTTGTGCTGCTGTAATCGGAAAAGAAGGCTTCGGTTATACCAAAAAAATTTTTGAGTTGTTCAACGAATACTTCTATAATGTCTAATTTTACAAACCACACTGTGGTGTAGTTTTGAGCATACGTAAGACATTAAGTAAAAGAAAATATTGGCTGCTAGAATATTTGTTCAAGAAGCCTTGACTGATAATGAATGCTGTTTTACATGCTGTTTTATGAGCAAGTTAGAAGTTGGCTAAATGCCAAATTTGGCTGGCAGAGTAAACACGGTATGTAAAAGCTTCCACTTAACAACAAGGTCCAATACACAGGAGTGATGAGTTGACCAAACTATATCTTTCTTATCGCTGAGTATATAAATGTTTAATTTTCATTGATAAACATTATTTTTCTCCTATAGGTTGTATATGTTTCTTCTTTGGTTGGCACCGGATTCCTAGGTACAAATCTAAATTAATTGTTACATAAAACAGGAAGACTTCAGTTGTTTGTGCACCAGCCTTTTAGTTTTACCAAAATAATATTTCTTTTGCGACTTTTTTATTTTTTCAATGTACTCAATTAAATCTGATAAGTTAAAATGACAATTTTACCGTAGGTCTCAGGACCTATTTACTTTATTTTTTGATCCCATAGGCCAAAAACACCATTGGTTAAAGTTTGTATATACGGGGTGTCCCCCCCCCCCCCCCCCCGTGTGTTTTAGACATTTGGTTTTATATTACTAACCCAATATGCTCTAAAAGCTTTGAAACTTTATACAATTTAAAAAAAGGATTTTTGAAATCTTTATTAGTTTTGGCAGGATTTTCCATCAAAGTTGGCTTTCCTCCCATGAGGTTAACATGGGGGATTTAATTGGAAACTTTGTCTCCACTAATTTGAGGGAACGGCTGGGCATAGAAGCTTGGTAGAGGTGACTAAAGAAAGGTCTTGGTCTGTAGATGAGGCATCAAAAGAGAAAAACAAATTAAATTCCCTCGGGGCTCTGCTCCAGTGACCTTTAAAGTTCCCTCCCCAGATTTGTTTATATTAAGGCCATATGGATAATTTTTCACTACTTTTTAATGAAACAGCTGTTAATATTTAAATTTTATTTTTATCAAAACGGTTTGAATTAGTCAAAAAGAAGTATCTGCAATGTTATTTTCAGATTTTCAAATTGTTTTGTTTTGTTCTCTTTGCGTTTTGCAAAAAAACGGCAAAACAAAAATGTATGTAAAAAAGGTTCAAAATGTTTTTAGATTTGTTGATGCAGCATGCAATTGCTAATTAGTTTTCTACAAAAACAGCTTGCAGGGCATGTATTGGGGTAATCTTAGTGAGGTCGGGGAGCGCGATGACGAGGGTGGGGGGGAGTTAGCGGCTAACTTCGCTGCCTAGATGCGGCAGATAGTTAACGTCCCTGGGTAAGATAAGTTTAGTAATAGTATTCAATGGAAGGTGGTATGAATTTAAGAAAACTGTGAGAATTTGCTTTTACGCTTGTCTGCAGCTCTTGGAAAAAAATCGAATACATTATGCAGTAGAACCTTGGTAACAAGACTCTCATGGGGATTGTAAAATAAGACTTGTTATCAAGGTTGTCTTCTTAAAGAGGTTTGTAATAACATGTGATTAGAGGTACAACAATCTTAAGGGGATTTGAAAATGACACTGGTTATCAAGGGCGACTTGTTATCAAAGGGTCTTCTTATCAAGGTTCCACTTGTGTCCTAATAATTGGGTTGTGTTCATTGACGAGAGGAAGTGATATAGTAGTGAATATTGAAGCATTGTTGTATGCTTAAATATTACAGAGAATTATCCAAAAAGGCTGTACTTTTTAAAATGCCCATGTTATTCTTAAGCCACGTTTAAACGAGATCAGTAGAGCAGGCAGGTAACGAGACAAGTAACCTGCCTGCTATGCTTAAATATTACAGAGAATTATCCAAAAAGGCTGTACTTTTTAAAATGCCCATGTTATTCTTAAGCCACGTTTAAACGAGATCAGTAGAGCAGGCAGGTAACGAGACAAGTAACCTGCCTGCTCTACTGGCCTTGTGTAAATGGGTCTTTATTGAAGATAAGTAAACAATTGTATTTTGCTTGTTTATGGATATACTTTAAAAACATTCACATTTTAAAAGTATTCACATCGAAACGCAAAGTCCAACAGAGGAGCAGCAGAATCACAAGGCAGTAACAGGTATTTTAAACTTCACAAAACCTTAGAGACATAATTACTTGAAGATTTTACATAGGCTTAAAACTAATTTACCCAACCCGCCATGTTAAACTTCCCAATCCCAAGCGTGATGTAAACCAATTCTTTACTTCACTCGGTGAAGTAAAGTTTCAAAAACTCACTTGGTGAAGTAATGAAACCTATTCAAATAACATTGATTGCTCACCTTAATAAAATATACCTCTATGGAGCCAATGACGTTCTACACTAGAAATCAGCTGTGCGCTTGAATGTTATTGTTATGCTTTAAAGTATTTCCTAACCTAGCTTTTGTTTGTAAAAGAACGTTACTGTTAGAAGATGAGTGAAATGGATAATGAAAAATTTTGTACGTAACCTCCTGTATATTGTTGGGTCAGGTAAAATCTTGTACGTTACACGTTACACAAGAGCAAGTTTACATCACTTAGGTGAATTATGCAACTCGCTTCCGCTCGTTGCACAATATTCACCTGCATGATGTAAAAACACTTTTACTAAACTTGTAACGTAAATAGCTATTACTTAATTAAAAAAAATTAAATTACCCTAGTTAAAGTTTTAAATTAGTTTTACCTTTTTTAGGAGCTTTAGCATCTTGGATATATTCAGAGTTTCTTTTTCCAATGAATAGAGATAAATGAATGTGTTCCAGGTCTTCACTAATGTCCAACTCCACTGGCTGCCAGGTATTTTCATAGAACCATGTTCCACGGGTGATGACAGTTTCTTCACCTAGCATTTAAAAAAATTATAGCTACACATTGTAGATAATTTGGTACTTTAGTATTATCCGGCGGCCACCCTTATAGCCTACAGTGCGCTGCGGCAGTTATGTTAGGTTGGGTTATCATATATGTTTGTAGGACTTGCCTTGTTTCATTATGAATCAAACAATGCCAGATGAGTCATTCTTTCCCTCGCCAAATCCCCTAAAAGTACTCCAAGGTGAGGTCGTTGACCGGAGCGCGTGCATTACCTGTCACCGCATGTGTATCTGGTGTGGCAGCTAGAAGCGGCGACACATTCAACTCAATCGTCGCCGACATCGCTGCCATCTGGAAGGCAGAACTCAAAGGCTGCTAATTTTAATCACGTCAAATTTGGACAGTAAGTAAATTAAAGTATGTTCTTTCCAACTATGATAACCCAACCTAACATAACCACCTCAGCACGCTGTATAAGGGTGGCCTTCGGATAATACCAAAGTACCGATATTTTTTATGATTTGATTTAGTACTTTTACCTATCATTTTTTTTTTCTTGTCCCCCTATTCATATGTATGGATAAAGTAGACTATTGTTTTTGTCAACATTTTTAAGTTCGGGTTTTGGGTGTAAATATTCGTGGTCCCCTTGAACTCATAAAGTAGTTTTTGAAGTTATGCGTATGTGTGTGTGGATGTATAGAGAGCTACAGGCGAGTAGAACTGTTATTGGATTTAGATTAAATTTGGTATGTGGGTACTGACATTGACTGTGTTAAGTCAATTTGACTAATCCATGGTATCTTAAGTTTAATTTTTTTTTTTTATGTAGATTTCTCTATGAACAGCTTGAAAGATTTTAATTAAAATCTAGCAAGTAATGATCCATAACTCTAAATGGTGCTGTACAATCCCAAAGCTGTAAAAAATACTTACTGTTCAAAAGTTATTGTAATATTTGTGATTTTACCCATATACAATTCACTGTTATTTCCACCCCCTGCTATTCAACCGATAATATATTGGGTCCAACATTTACTTCATACCTACTTCTTTCCTTCATCTTTGACCAGCAGTTGGCTGGATAGATGGAGTCAAAACTATTGTAAACTATAACTTACTAATTTAAACTGTACAGTCCATTGTCACAAAGCAATAAAAATAGCCGCGTAGTCTGGAGGTAGTATAAATTAATGAGTCGGTTCATTATAACCTAAACTTTACCTTCCTAATCTAAACTAACTTCAAAACACTTAATACAGTCACGATTCCACATAAAACCCGACCTACCTTCCCCACATGCCTAAATAAGAGCTGATTATTTAGTTTCAAAACAAATTTATTTCATTCCGCATTAAGTCGAGTATATTACCACGCCATATAACCATCAGTACTGCTCAATGAACCTTAGATTCGTAATTTTAAGCTTCGTTTTACAGCGACTTAGGAATCTCTCCAACAAAAACTTATGGAATTTTTGGATTCAGCGTGAAAAAAAACTGTAAGTAGACATATAAAAATTACACCTTTTCCCAGTGTAGACGTACGGAATGATTGACAATAATTATTTTTAAGTAGGCTGTAGGTATTTTGTTTGTTCCAAAGAGGTACAGTTTCTTAAATGGGCTATGCAAATATTGATTGAAACTAAGTTATCGATTAGATTAGGAAACCTTCATTCGATTTTTTCATTATCAGCAAGTTTGGTTAGTTAGGTTATGACTGTTTGATTTTATAATTGATATAGGCCTAGCATAGTTAAAAATATTGATTACCGGTATTAATCGATATTTTCAATTCGATAGTTTCAATCGAAATTAGCATCGCCCAGTTAAGAAACTGTACCCTTACAATAGATTTAAGTTTTAAGACACCAAACATTGATGTAACTTTACCCTTTAAATAATGCGCAGGGTATGATTATGACATACCCCCACGTATGTTAATTTTGAAATAATTTTACATGTATGGTGGCAACCCCGATGAGCATAACAGTAGCTTCCTAAAATAGCATATGCTATCATCTGGCCGCAGGGTTGTTAGTCTTGACCAAGTCATTGACCTGTTAGCTATCACCCCCCTGGGTCTGGCATACGCGCGTGCTTGTGTTACCAATACAGCAGTGTTCATTAGGGGGTCCAGTGTAGCCTAGACCCCCACGCCCGTAGTAGTGTCTCAGATTTATTCATAATTAGTAATAATAGCTTTTTAACTTTATCATTATAATTTCGATAGTATTGAAAGTTTGCCAACAAACTTATTATCTCTAAACCAATTGGATGGAAATGTCCAACCATAGAGTCCACTGATATAGCCTCCCAGTGCAAAGGCACGTCTGCATTGATAACCGTCTGCCTTGGACAAAAAAAAAGCCAAGACCAAATTTAAGTGTAAAACCTTAAATACCCCCGCCGCAGCAAACCTGCAGACTAAGCAAATTTCCATTTGCCTGATTAGATTTACACTTTGAAAACGTTTACCGGTACAGTAGACCCCCTCTTAACCGACCCTAATGGGACCGGACCTAGGTCGGATGAGTCATCCGTCGGATGACTCAAAAGGTCGGTTAAAACGGGCAATCCCTAAAATCATAACATATGAAGTCATACTTGCATTATTTATAAAATAAACTACTCTTATCTCCTTTTACGTATTGATAGAAAAGTCACAAATAAACACAAAACACGGTTAAGTAAAATAGGCCAACTTTCAGTGGAATATATTACTCGTATAGTACAAGGCAAGAGTCAATTTTAATAACATTAGAACTGTAATGTATTAATTGATGCTTTCCAAGTCCATCGTATTACAGTACAGAACCTTTTGTCGAAATTAAAGATACAAGCAACCATTTTGTTACAAGACAGGATGTTTATTTATAGCCTCTCACTGGAAGCTCGAGGCACAAAAACTATCTTGACCTTGGAGTTGTTAACCCCCCTTCCCTGCCCTCCCTACAAGTTGCATTGTTTGTTTACCCCAGCGATTAGATAATCAGTTCTCAAAATCGTAACGCACTTTACGATGTTATACATTTTCCGCAAAGATAACAAACTGAAAATATCCTATATTTTTTGTGATCAATACAAAATAACTTATTCTTAGTCATATCCTGTGGAGATAAGCGTATGGTTCAGTTCTCATCGCCCAGCGTGGGAGCGGAAATGCCAAGATTCCTAGAAAGCGGCAGTTAAACCGAACTGCTCTCAAATCAAGGTCGGTTAAAACAAACTATTATTTTACGATCGAAGGCGGATAATCCGATTATCGGTTAATACGAGGTCGGATAAGAGGGGGTCTACTGTACTTAAAAATTATTATAATATTTATTTCCTATTTAAATAGAATTTGTTTAACAAGTAGGCCTACTTAGGTTTGCTGCATCAGGGAGGGTAAAACTGTTTTTTTTTTTTGGGGGGGAAAAATGGGAAAAACCTACTTTTACCCCATAAAACCCCCCGTAAACCCCCGTTCCCATAGTCTGATCATGCTGGTTCGCAGACTCGTTCGAATAAATGTAGGTTTACACGTTTATACTAAATTTCATCAAAATCGGATTATTCTGCTCGAGTTATCATATTAACGGACACACATATATATATATATGAATTTGAACGGATGGTGTTTTTGGCCTCTAGAGACCTCAAAACGAAAAAAAAATCGGTCCCGCGTCCAGGTCTTACCATGAGTAGGCCTACTACGGTAATAGCTGATTCCCTATCTGGGAAATTCGCTAAAACCAATATTCCAGGGGAAAATTTAAAATTTTTGTGAATTGTGTTTAAAAGTAAGTTACATTAGCCTATCAAAGAATTTTTTTTAATTTTTCAATTTTTTTTACAGTAGGCCTATTTTCTACAAACCGGGAAATGTATTAACTCATGAAATACCTATTTACTGTTTCCATAGTTAAATACAAATATTATACTTTTGTAAAATTAAAAATAACATTTGTTTGTAATAAAAACTTGTCTATAGATATTACGTCTAAAGTTTAAGGAGCTAAATATAAAAATCCTTTTTATAGACATTTTTATTTGGGGGTCCACTAGACCCCTGCGCACGCTCCAGCGTAAAAAAAACAAGCGTGCGCGCTTTAGGCCTACCTAATGAATAAAAAAATCTTGTAGTTCAGACAATGTCTTGGTAGGGCCCATGAATACTTAGTATAAAACAGACCCCGCATGGATCATAAACATAAACAAATGATGTTACTGGCCAGAAAGTTTCAATATTATTTAACATTGCTTAAATGGAACATATGCATGTTAATGTCATTAGCTTAGGATTCAGGCCAGTTACGTTAGCCTATTTGTTTATGTTTATGATCCATACTGGTTACTTTTATAATATTCGTGGTAGAGCCTAAAAAAATGCACAGGCCTAACTTAAAATCTGCATAGCTTACAATGGCTGCACTTTACTTGACATCCTACACTCATTCGATTGTTTTTTCGATTCGATATTTTCATTCGATTGTTTCATTCGATTGTTTCATTCGATATATCGTTTGGTTAGTTAGGTTAGGTTAACCTTATCTAACTAACCAAACGATATATGGAATGAAGCAATCGATTAATCGATCGATATTTTCATTCGAATGAGTGTAGGACGTCAAGTAAAGTGCAACCCTTACAATGAATAAATCTTTATAAATTTACAACCAATAACTTAAATCTGTTATAAAAAATTGGGGCTAGCCAACATCATACAGTTTTGGGGGGGTTTTTGGCTCATCCAGACTGATTCTACTATAAAACCAGTGATGTTCCCAAGTGATTACGGATATCCGGGAGCTGTATACACCCTCGTGAAAGTTATTTCAGTTAGCCTAAACCTTAAATTAAACCCCATAGAGCTATTGTAGGCTAGCCTATATCAAATTCTACTCACCTGGCCAGAAGATGGAAGTGCAGTTTCGTTTCAGAATGTCAACTTCAAAGAGACCATCTCTTACCACCACCTTTTCATTTATTTCACCGCATGGTGAAATGCACTCCTCAGGAGTGGTTTCATCACTAGGTCTCACTGTTTGGTTAATACTTTGAGGGCTTTTTAAAGGTTCATATGTAGGGCTACAGTTTGTATTTTTATCTTGTGGTTTTCTTGATCTATAAGTTGTATTGTAGTATGCCCACTCCTTGTCAGTTAGATTTTTGTATCTATGTTCAATCCTTAAGGAATCATAACCGTTGAACTCTACCCACTGTTTATTTGATAAATTTTTATAAAACCACCTAATTTGCTCAGCTTTTAAAACATCTATAAGTTCATCATTGTTTCTGAAGTATAATGCAGGATCAACTGTAAAATTTGTCCTATCGAGTTCTGTTTTTGGTGAAACAATTCTTTCTTCTCCCTGTAAATCACTAACATAGGAGTTGTTATCATCTTCCAAGTATAAGGTCTCGGAATCTGACGTTATTATAGACACATTAATATCTTCTAATTCTTTGTCCTGATTAAGGGGTTGTGAATCCATGTTCATCAATTTCACAAAGAAACGAGCATTTGAACTGGCATGGAAGCAAACCTAAACAAAAATCAGCCGAAACACAAGATTTGCAATAAAAGAAAGTACCGGTAACGAAAATTTTAAGCTAAACAAAAACAAATCACAAAAATCAGCTTCATTAGAGCAACTCTCAATCTCAGTAGGCAATCGAACACTCTCGCTGATATCTGAACTGAACCTACAACAAAGTACTAGCTACAGCTTCTGCACCAGCTTTTAGCTTCTGCTAGTTCTAATCTGTTCTGCTTGTCTTGAATGATACAAAAATGACAAATTAAAATGACAGTTCGTTTAGGACAGTATTCAACCAGAGTAGCCACACAAAGGCAGAGAAATAGCCCAGGTTGAAGATGCAAAATTAAGAAAAATTACGGGAGCATTGAGTATATACACTGCGTAGACAATTATATGTGGACTTAATCATAACTGTTTATATGAGTGCGAACACATTTTTGTGATCGATAGGGCAATAATAGTTTTGTACACAGTAGGTATTCAAATTGTAATCGTGTGTCAAGAATTTCATTTGTTTTGTTTCTTAAAGTAATTTCCACTACAACAACGCCGAGACTGTTTTGTTGATGTTGTTTACTACTTCTGTATTTGTTTGTTGTTTTTCACCAAAGAAAAATATATAGCTTTATTATTATAAGGTATTGATGGTGCTATATAGAAAAATAGCCAAAAGTAAGACACAACCAAAGTTTGAGATTTAGCCTCATAAACGCTAAAACATCACCAACATGAAACGCACGCAAGCTTCACATTTTACAATAGTATGAGCATAGACTAACCAACACTTGGGGGAGTATGTTTTATCTATGGTATGAGTATACTTTTGTATCTTGTATCATTCAAAGTCAATGGTTTACATGTAAATTGATGTATGAAAAGTAGACTCGTAGTAATCCGGCAGATATAGGATGATACTGCGCCAGATTAGTGAAGATTCCGGCTCACTTGAATGTCATCGATCAACTTAAAATGGACAAAACAAGTGTTTTATTGTACCAAAACAATTATTATGAGTAGGGATTTGTCACTTCTCAAGACCACCTATTTGGAGATCCGTATCGAGAATCGCAATCTATCGTCAAAATTTGATTCCGATACCAATCCCCTACACTACACACCTGCCCCCACCTGCGAAAATCACTATTGCACCGATGACACATGACGACGATGACCACGGAAGACGTTGATATTGCCCAAACCACCGCTTGAGATGATCATAATTTACCACGATCGTGGAATACGACGACAACGCCTACACAACCGTGGGAGGTATTCATGATTTTGCCGCGATCATGCAAGACGACGATGACGTTACCGTGACCGCGGGAGTCGGTGATGATGACGATGATGTCTACACGGTCACGGGAGATTGTAAGAATTTTGCCTCAATCGTTGAGGATGATGAATATGTCTACAAACAGGGCGAAAATTTTTAATGAATTCGCCGCGACGTTGGAAGACGATTATGATGTTTCCGTTACCGTTAAGCTCCTAAATACAGTCACACTAGACAATGTGAATTAAACTCTTACACAAACGTGTCTCAAGTTCAATTCCCCACCACACCCGTCAAAAGACGCCGGATTACATGGAGTGCCGGAGTGGTGCAGTGCCAGATTATGGACGGTCTACATTGTACTAATCATAACTTACTACACACGTACTATGCTTAATAACATTTATTAAGTACGGAGTATTTAATACTCCATAGGTACAGTTTGACCAATGGTGTTCCCTTAGCCAATAGAATGCTCTAATTTTTTACGTATTAAAAAACCACAGCTGAAATAAAAATTATGCGGTTCGGCCAAAGTTTCTGTGCACGTGACCAGATCCGGTCGGGCATAGGCATAGATAAAACATATGTTTTATCTATGGTATAGGCGTGGAGGTTGGTGTGGTACTTTTGTGAAAACATATTTTGTGTCTTGCTATTCACCCCTACTCCCAGCACTGCCAAACCGATACCCGCATGCATGTTTTAGCATAGACTAAACCAACACAAGCAGACTTCTCATCCCATATTGTACATTTTGGAATCTCGTTTATCGTGTCTATAATTCATGTCCGATGACACTGATCGATAGTGTCGACGAGTTATTGTTTCTATTATTTTAAGGTTAATTTCAGGGGCGGTTCCAGGGAGCCCCCCCCCCTGGAGCAGGAGAAAATTTCAAAAAGACGTATGTTCATAATAATTTAATATTATTATAATTAGATTTGTGTTGATACCTAAAGGAAAATCTCGGCACCATCGGTTTTTAGAACAAGTATTTGTGCCAACAATCAACGTCAAAATGTGAGTACGGTACCAGGATTTCAATACCAACAGGACAGGGCCTATAAGCGCCCACGTTTTGACGACGACAAACTATACGCGCGGTGGCATCGGACGAATTGCGCGCGCGGTGGTTGTTACTTTCATTATGTATTTACTTTTCTTAGTACATTAGGTGTATATGTGATGTGTCTAAGGCCAAAACTTGAAACCACTTTATAAAAGAGGTCACGGCCCGCGGGATTCAAGGGAACATTCCGTGCAACTGTAGCGATCACGGCAACATAGTTTTGCATTTCCCGCAATCGCGATTTTATTCCTTTCAGCAATGAACATAGCACATAAAATATTCATGTGCTCTATAAAGGTGGCAGTGGCTCAATGGTAATAAATGGACAAGACACTTGGCCATCGGCTATTGGAGGTGATTCTTCCAAAATATAAAGTATATTTACAAAAACTGTAAATTGTGCTAGAAATGTTCATAATTAATTTATTTTTCAGGGGTTTCGACCCTCCCTTTACCTTAAAACTTACTTTTTTTACAACTAAACATTTTTTTCTACAATAGAAAAATATTTGTTATATGTCTCTAAATAGCCTAAAACACGATTTTGTAGGTCTAATTTACAAAAGTATGGAATACCCTCCAGATCCCCGTTGTTTAGGGGGTAAACAGCCCACAGCCCAAGATTCCAAGTAATGGCCCCTCCGAGAATCCGTGCTGGTGGTGCTGGAGCACGGCCGCCTTTGGTTAAAGGTGGCCATGGCTGGAGCCACCCCTGGTTAATTTCATAATTTTTTCTTAATTTTATAAGTTTTAATTTTTAACCCTCATTTTCTCCGTATTAAAAAACCACAGCTGAAATAAAAATATTGTGCGGCCGAATCGTACCATGGCCGCCTTCAACTACCTGTACAGTGTACATCTTGGCATCGACCAAACTGTATAATGCAAATAATAAAATCGGAGCGATAAAATATCTTACTTCCTATTACCATTCAGTTATCTTTGCTTGGTCTTAATATTCATATCAATGGTCTTAAACTTCCGTTTCCTTCATCGATCTATGTTTATTGTTTGTTTATTATTGTTGTGTAGGATGGAAAAGGAACAGTTTGTTTGATCGTTTAAATTCAGTTAACTTAGGTTATAGATTGCGGCTGTGATTATGTTTGATTACTAGTTGCTTGTACAGTTACAGTAGTTTGAATACAATTAATTTAAAAATTAACAAGTTTACAGTAATTAGAAACGTGAAAGTTTAAAATTTAATAAACATGAAGAAGATTGTGTATGCTCAGAAGACAACACTGAGAATGATGGCAGTATGATATATTTGCATGGTTTTCCTGCACCTTTATTTTTTATGTAGATTGCACAACTAAGACCAGAACTACGTTTTTGGAGGCTCCCCTACATTGCTACTCAAAATGAGTGTGAAAAATTTCCAATTAAGTGAAAACTCGTCTGTTTTTGATCACAAAGCATGTACTATTATTTCGTATCCCAACACTAACTTCACAAGTATTGCAAGTTCCAGTATAGTTGTAAGTTTTAGAAATTTTATTTTAAATTGACTAGCCTATCCAATAACTAATTGTATTATTTGCAATATTCCACTATTGATTACTATATTTGTAATGGTAAAGTGTAATAAATTCTAACACTAACAAGTTTAAATGATAAGTGTTTGAACTATGAACAATTTAAAAACCAGGCTATGTGGACAATTTAAAAACCAGGCTATGTGGACGCATAAGTTGTATCACATTAGAAATAGGCTAAGCCATTAACAAACTTAGCCTTTTTTGTAGCCTAGATAACTTATTAAGTTATTATGTAGTTTTATTCACTTCTATTTTGGATATAACTTAGGCCTACTTAACTTTTAACTGTTAGGCCTAAGTAGTTTGTGAAGTTAGGCAACTAGTTTATTTCTCATTGAGTCTGGGTTAACTTAGACCTAATTAAGTTAATATAAAATATTGTGAAACTTTGATAGGCCTAGCCGACGACTCCATCGGATTATCAAACAATAAAAGTATCGATTCGATGGATAGCATTTAACCAAACTTAAGGTAACAAATTAATTACGTAATTACCAAACTAACTTTAGTTAATCAAAACCCAAACATTTGATATTGATTTTAAGCTAGATCAATTGATGAGTGAAAATTTAAAAACGTACGTTTTCATGTCCCTGGCCTTATACTTCGTAGATACTGGATTTGTAGTTTATTATTATGTGTTTTAATATTTTTTGGGACGGGGGCAACATGTTACACACATTTATTTGGTTTTAAATAGGTTCTAGGTATTTTTTTCGTATTTTTAAAGTCTCGAAATTCACGACCATGACGTGTGAATTTTCCAAAAAGAAAACAATTCTTGAAAGCCTATTTGCAGATTGATCAACTAACAAATAGGCTTTCAAGAATTGTTTTCTTGTTCTCTAGATTAGTGCACTATGTTCCTTTTGATTATGTAAAATCTGCTTATTTTGCAATATTTCAGTCAATTGCTTCATATGGTTTAATTTATTATGGTAGCTCTCCTAAAATCCACGAGGTTCTTCTATCTCAGAAAAAAATCATCAGAATAATGTGTAAAGAGGATAGTGAAGCACACTGTAAACCCCTTTTTATTGAATTAAAAATATTGACCATCATTAACTTATACATTTATCAATTATTATTGTTTACTTTTAAGAATAGCTTTAAATACAAAATGAGAAATGAAGTGCACAGTATTAGTACCAGAAACTGCAAAAAGATTGATCTGCCTCAGGTACGGTTGGAAAAAACAAGATCTGGACATGTTGTGATGGGTATCAGGCTATTAAATAAATTACCTCTGGCTGTGACAGATTTAGACTTTAAGAATTTTAAGAAAAGGCTGTTTTTATTTTTAGTAAACAACCCGCTCTACCGTATCGAAGATTTTTTTAGCATGTCTGATAAGTTAATAAAAAATATTTGAAATAGGATGTAACTGTGATTTAGATATACGTTGCACGATTTTTTAATTTATTACTGTCAAATTTTTAATCTCTTGCCATGGTTTGTAACTTTTGTATTTATTTGCTCGTCGCTCAATTTCAATTTTAACTCTTGTATTATATTGACTGTATTAACTGAATTCCTTGTTATTTATATATTTATACATTTATTTACTCAAAGACTGAATACGAGATGTATTAACCAACATTTTGACCTATCTATGCATTTCATATGTAAAAAATGATGAATAAATGTCTTATGTCTTATGTCCCTAGGGTACATTTTCCAACTTTCACGCTGTTTTTAGACTAATTATTCATGCCGAAATATATAAAGCCATATTTTAATGTCATCAATGGTTATTAAACTTACAAAAAAGTAGCATATTATAATTTTATTGTCATTGCAAACTGACTACCATGACAAAATAAGTCTGTCCCTCGATTTGGCGTCACGACCATTTGGGAAAAATTTTCAACTTTGGAGCACGACAGTGGCAAGCCTGGCGTCGATGGAGTCAGTTGGTTTTAGAGACTAGTTCGGGGTGTACGTCAGGATTGTAGTGCCGGTCGTTTCGAGTTGAAAGGAGGAATTACAAGATTAATAAAGGAAAGATTGTGTTTTTTGTAATTTTGGTGTGTCCATGACCGTACGTAGTCATTGAAGAAGTAGACATGGTGTTAATTTTTGTTTATAAGATATTTCAATTGCTAGATTAACCTAGAAGTCCACTTTGTATCCTCGAACATGAGGTGCAGGGCTACCACCAGAACAGAGCCAAATAACACGTAATTTCACGACCAAAGTTTCACGACCATCGCTGGTTTTTTCACGACCAATCCAGCCTTATGGATTATAGTGTGTTTGGTCGTGACAATAACTTTAATATAATTGTAAATTGAACAGTTTAGTTCAATTGAAACACATATTTTTATTATAACTAACAGTATAATTGAAGGACTGTTTAGAAAGATTGAGATTATTTCAGAAAATTCACGACCGTCCCGCTTGTCCCTGACCATCACGTTAACGATTTCTATCATAAAAATTTCAAAAATTAAAATATCGTCATATTTCAATGTTTTATACACAAAAGAAGCACACCTCTATACGAACATAACGATTTTTTGGGTCTCAGGTAAGTTTTTTCGGAGTTACACAAACTTAAAAAGATTTTATTGGCTTTATTTCAATTTTTTGAGTTTTTTTATTTTTTTCTGGAAAGACCAAATATACCAAAAGCTCAGTGACCTTTTTATTGTATAATGGTCATAAAAGTAAATTAGTTTATAGCAAAACATAGTTATAAAAATAATATTAACTATTTTTAATATCCATTTAAACGTCTGTTATGGTCGTGACAGGATTTTGTGTTTTTCCACTAAAGATGCTCTTTTTAAAAAAAACTACCAAAGATATTGCGTTACCATGGACATTTTATGAAACTTAAAATGTTAATGAAATAAAAAAAATAATAAAAGTTTTGATAAAAGGGAGAAAAAATTTGCAAAGTGCTTTTCCTGAAAACGTACGTTTTTAAATTTTCACTCTGATATTGTATTGGAGTCAGATATCAAAGTTTGGCTGCACTTTAAGCCTACTTTGGGTCCTACACTCATTCGAATGAAAATATCGATTATTCGATTGTCGATTGTTTCATTCGAAATATCGTTTGGTTAGTTAGGTTAGGTTAACCTTACCTAACCAACCAAATGATATATATCGAATGAAACAATCGATTAATCGATATATCGATTGATATTTTCATTCGAATTCTGAGTGTAGGACCTAAAGTAAAGTGCAGCCCAAAGTTTTGCCAACAAAAATCACCTAGGCCTAGCCTAATTTTAGCGTTTGGATAAAAATAAGTTACAATAGAAAAATAATTTTTTTATGAATTGATTGACAATCTATTGTGATAATTTTCATGAAAACCAAACAGGGATGACTACTGAATATTGTTATATTGATATAATAAGTTAGTCATTCAGACAAGAAAGAAAATAACTTCCCGGGTCAAGTTTACAGTCAATTTTTTTTACTCAAAATCTACCTCCGCACAAACTAACTTAGGTAACTGAAGTTTAGGCATCACTTAACACTCGAGACATATAAATAAGAAAAATAACATTAAGTACCTAGGTACCTAAGTTAATGTGCTAATATTTTAATATAGGTTACACCACAATAATTAGGTAGGTATGTTCATCTCAATTACAATACTGTCTTTATGTTTTAGTCAGTCAGGGAGCCACAGACCAAAGATGAATATCGTATTACAGAAATTGAGAAGGAAATCCATTCATTGGAATCCGTTTGTAAATCTGTAAGTTTGCAACTATCTTAGCCTAAATACATTCACTCTATGGAGTCTGACATGCCCTAACACACAGGGAATTTTAAGAAATTTATACATATATGTCAATTAAATTGACAACTCAGTCAACTCCAGGGTGAATTCCATGTATAATTTAAATTATAACATTTTATAGTTTCCACCCTAAATATTTGTTTGAATCATAAACTTAATAACATTGGCCGATGATCAGAGGTGCCCATCCCCCCCAAAGACGAAAAAACCCAACGGTGCGCGAGTCCCCCCCAAAATTTAACCACCCGCTCCACGGCCATGGGATCAGTCTGGGGGGTCTGTAGGAGTGGGTTACGGTAGTGCTCCCCTGGAAATTTTAGAAATTTTAGACATAAAATAGATGGGTTTTTATAATTTGAGGCACCCGATTAGAAGTTGGTTTGGTTATCAAATCAAATCAAATCAAAATCTCCTTTATTCATGAATGTACAAGTACAAAGAATAGAGTCAGTGAGTACTTATTGTCTATTCACAATATTTTAAATTGTAAAATTCCTCAAAGGAGTAAATTGCTTTTTCTACTAGGTAATTTTTTAGTTTAAAGTAAAATTTCCTACTATTACATTCATTTTTTATATCTTTTGGTAAAAAATTTATATATCTAAGGCCTCTATACACTGTGTTTTTTTTTATAAAATTCTAAATTATGTCTGTTTTGTATAACATATTGTGCATTTCTGGTATTAATTATATCTATTACTGGTAGGCCTACTTAGTTCTAACTGTATTTTTGGTAAATGGTGCTGCTTAGTATATTTTATTGTCTCGTATATATATAAATTCCAAACACTGTCAGGATTTCCAAATTATAAAAATGATACTATACACTTTCAATCCAATTTAAACTTAGCATTAATCTAATAGCTTTCTTTTGTAACAGAAGTATTTGATTAAGGTTTGATTTTGAGGTCCCTCCGTACACACTAATTCCGTATGATATAAATGAATGTACAAAAGCATAATTTGAACCCCATTTGAACCACGAACACCCACTTCACAATAACATCACCACACCATCAACACACCTTTAAATTTAAATTATTACTAAAACCAAAAAAAATCGTAGTATGGCTACATACTCTAATAGGACATCAGTAATAATATCACGAAACTTACTAAAAGTGTTAACTTATTAGTTGATAAAATATTTCATACAAGTACAACCCGTTTGCCGGTTGGTGTACAACATACACGTCAACACGGGCGGCGGGAATCGGGATGTAAACAAAGCTACTACACTAGCGAGCAGTTAGTAGCACTAGCGAGCTCACTCTCGGTTGCCGCCAGTACAGTGCTAGCGCATCTCGCCGGCCATGCTTAACCTGACGAGTTGTGTCATAACACAACTTAAGCATAAATATAAAACATATTTTATATTTATGCTTCATTGTGAGCACTGCTTGTCTTTAATGTCCATACATTATAAAAATAATTATTTGTTGACAAAAAGTTGTATTTTAAAACGTTTTTATTAGCTCGCTTTCTTGGCCGGTACAAATTTTGCAATCAATTTTATACTAACTTCCCAATGACCTAGAGACTTGAAACTTGAAACATAGCTCACAAATAGAAGACAATGCAATATTATATCATTTAATTTTCATATTTTCCTTGGGCTACGCCCCACGGGCTTGTTTTTATTAACTCGCTTTCTTGAAAATGTTGATACTTCCCGATGAGCTAGAGACATAAAACTTGAAACATAGCTCACAAATGGCTAACAATGCAATATTATATCATTTAATTTTCATATTTCCCTTGGGCTACGCCCCACTGGCTTCCAAATTTTTCATGTTTACATTTTGAAAGAATGTAAATATATCAATTAATTTATGTCAGCTGTTAATACTTAAATTTGACAGTTCGAAGAGCAGAGGTTAAGAGGGTAAGAGGTAGTTATGCTCCCAAGAGATTTTTTATACAAACAAACATTTCAAAATAAAGATAAAACAATCTGATTGCAGATATAAAGGTGTTTGTTAATAATGTAATTTGTTATTTATTTAGTATTCTATATAGTAAACAATAAATTAAATAGATTGATATATTTATAGTTAGTAATCAGGCCATACATTCAATCTAATACATAATTATATGAAAAGAAACTCAAATAAACCTTAGATTTCCCACATGCCTCTGTCCTAATCTGATATAGATGCATGGAATAGATTTAATATCCACACACATTAAAAACTAAAAAGTATAAAATAGTTTATAAATAAACAACTTTTTAAAACAAAACAAAACGTTTTTAAATGCACTAAAAAGTGGAAAATAATTTATAAATATGTGGAGAGGATAAATACTTGTAAGATTTAAAACAAAAAAACGTGGGGTGCATGCAATTGATAATAATACATTAGTTCAATAGGTGAAGGTAATTGTACATTATTTATTGCATGCACCCCACGTTTTTCGTTTTAAATCTTACAAGTATTTATACTCTCCACATATTTATAAATTATTTTCCACTTTTTAGTGCGTTTAAAAACGTTTTGTTTTAAAAAGTTTTTTATTTATAAATTATTTTAATTCCCCCCCCCAAATCTAAAAAAACATCATTAAATCTCAAATCCCCCCCCAAAATTTAATTGTGTAGCGCAGTTTGCGCTATCAAATCATTCTGTGGGCCCCCCTGCCGATGATAGTGTGCTCGCTCTAGCTAACTGTCATTTCTGATTCCTGTTTCTATAAACCTTTTACCCTACTGTTTTATAGAAATCTTTTTAGAGGGCAGACTGAGACTCCTCTCTCGTTTTAATCCTTTGAGCTTAAAAAAAAACAATGTAGTATGTAAAAGTTTTTTTGTACAGTTATTGGTTACGGAGAAAACATTAAAAAATGTTAATTTAAAATTCCAATGTTATTCTTATGGAGAATATTGTAATATGTTGTAATTTGCTTGTTTATGGACATATTTTGATAAAACTTTGCAAATTTATTTATTTTATACTTGCTATTAATATTTTACTAAAAAACCACTTTATAATGTCCCTGTAGCAGCAAACCCAGGTACTCGTTAAACCTAATGCTATTTAAATAGAATACATCTACCAGGGGACTGAGCATTGCTCGTGGTGTTTAATTTGTAGGAGACGTTAAAAATATACGTTAAAATAGCCTATAGGCCTACATATGTACAATTTCCATGATATTATAAAACTCCTAATCATTTTATCGTTCATGATGAGCAACGCACTGGGCGGCCATCTGTCATTTCTGTTCCCATACTCAATGAACGTTGGTGGGGCCGTCTTTAAATGCCTTTACCCACTTGCGTACCGTTCCGTCACTCATAATGTTCTCGCCATACACGTCACTAATCTGTTGATGAATTTCAATGGCTTTCACACCTTTAGCACTTAAAAATCTAATTACAGTGTGCTCACTTCACAGTCGGCTGCAGTCTCAATTGGCGGCACCATTTTGGATGCTCAAAACCGGATGTAAATACGGCCGATTGTTGCCAAATTTCTGGTGCTGGCTTGCCAATAGATGCACATACACAGCGCTGATGTCAAAAATGCCAATCGCAGCGCTGGAACGGAGAAATTTAAAAACGGTACTTAGTTAAAAAACATGCCTCGTAAATTAATCCAACGATAATTTATTGCTAAAATGACTGCACAAATTAAAAGCAGTGGTGAAATAAGTATTTTTGTGCGCATGTCATCTTGTTCATCTAATTTTGGTTTTGAGGCAATGTATTATGCTCTTTGATAGTGCCTAGAAAGTACTGAAATGTTGTGTATAGTATAGACTTCTTCAGTTTTTAAGAACGGTATTTGTTTATAGATGTGTGCTGACCTGGAGCATTCCCCTCTCACTACGAGATATGTTGTTGAGATACAGAGAGTGTGGGATCTCCTGGTCAAGTCTCACAATAACAGCAAGCGGATGGCCGACGTCATCAAAGAGCAACTCCAAGCCCTCTCTAATAACAACATGAAGCTGACTGTGGCCCACGAGCACAGCAAGTCCGAGCAGAAGACCATTGACAACCTTACTCAGGTACTATTTAACTGTCAGCTAACTACCTGCATAGCCTAGTACAGTGCTTGCCTTCTAATCTGCAGGACAATGGTTAGATTTCAAGCAATTGTTAGTAGCAAGATTGGTGTTTGGCCTGCTCTTTTAGAAGAAACGTAAAAATGCCAATGGCATTGAAAACACACAAAAAAGTAGTACCATTGGTAATAGCTTTAACTATTGATACAACCAGACATTCCATCCCAGTTGTCGCCAGTTGTTCATCGAAGTTGCCAAAGTTGATGTGAGCCACTGACAGATTGTGCTGATGGGTATAATACTGATTTCTGTTGAATACACAAACCTTTTTTACCAAGTCAAGGAACAACTTATTGTGAGCTATAGCAACTGTTACGACCCATAAACTATGTCAAACAAAAATAAGGTAGAAAATATAATTTTAAACAATAGTGCATTCTGTGACTAGCTCACTCAACTACGTTCTTTTTTAATAAAAAATTGGCGACAGCTGGTCCATATAGATGGGAAGTCTACTTCAGTATCCAAGTCAATGGTAATAGCAAACCAATATAGTTGTTTATAAAATCTGAGAGTAAAAAATGCCAGACATCAAAAACAGGAATCTTATTTAGTCTGCCCATCAGGTTTTCTGCTCAAGAGACAAATCAGTTGTACATCAAAGTCAGAACACATAACTTTACTATAGACAAAACCAATCATAACTTTGACTCCTAGTCACTTAATCATTATTTTTATTATGGTTTATAAAGTTTCCCACCTTCTTTCTTCATTCCCTAATAGATGCTACTTTTTAGTCTGTTTAGGCTATCTCAGATTATTTGTTTTATATTTATCATATGAACTAGGGTACTTTATGAGCTCGTAAATTAGAGAATAAATATCTCTCTTCGTTCAAAAGGAAGTGAAGCGAGCACTGAGAATGGTAGATACAGCTCACACCCGCGAGCAAGTTGCGCAAGAGACCATTGAAAACCTGCGACAGCAAATCAATCGGTTACATTCTGAACTGGAGAGCAAATCTAGAATGTCTGACCATGATGGAGAGTAAGTAAAAACTATTTTTATGGTATCAACTTGTTATGTAATATGATTTCTATTGTACTGTCAAATAATTCTACAGCTGTTTTATTTAAGACTGTTTTGTTTATGTATGTAATGTTTACAGTTTTGTGCAATTCTGTCATGTAAAATGTAGCTGATTATTAAGTTGAATAAAACCATATAAATTTGGTTTCCAAACATTTCTTTTCATAACAATTTATTCAACTTAATCTTTTAACTATATTATCACAAGTTCTTCTATACAAGTTGTATTCTATCTTTTCTATTCAAGTTTATTCCAAGAAATGTAAACTGATAAATTCTTCAAGCCGGAGCGCCTATCTTTGGACCCTAATGACCCCCATTCTGATCGTCAGTGGAAACCACTATCAAGAATTTCATGGAAGAAATATATGTGCTGCAGAAGATGATCTACTAAAACTTCTAACTAATTTTGTGGACTACAACATATATGAAATAATCTCAGAGGTTGATTCTTATACTGAAGCTATATCTATTCTTGACAAACTTTTTATAAAGCCTACTAATGAGGTATATTCACGTCATCAACTGGCTAGAACCTGGAGAAAATATTGATCAGTATCTTCGAAAACTCAAAGAACTTAGTAAAGCATGCAACTTTAAATCTGTCACTACTAATGAAAATCGTAACGAGTACATAAGAGACGCTTTCATTTGAGGATTAATATCACAGTCCATTCGACAAAGACTTCTTGAAAATCTATCTTTGACTCTTGAAGAAGCTTATAATCAAACCATTACCTTGGAATCGGCTGAAAATCAGGCGGTTTTATATATTTCAAGCCCTTGTAACTCTATATCTCACTCAACTCCTAAAAATGTTGATGTTACTGATACAAATATTTCTCAGGCAGCTTCTGATTCGTCTTCACACCAATTATCCTCGTTAAGAAGAGAAAAATGTTTCTTTTGTGGACGGTCACGACACTCTCGAGCCAACTGTCCTGCCAAAGGCTCAGTTTGTAATATTTGTGACAAGAAAGGCCATTGGGCAACAGTTTGCAATTCTCGCAACCAAAGTAAAACATTTAAGGGTAAAACAACTCAAAGTGAAAAGACAGAAATAAACTCAATGTCTTCCTCTCTTGTTGCTGCCTCACAAAAATGTCTTTCAAAAGCTACAGTGTCACTGATGTTAAATGGCAAACCAGTAGATGCACTCATTGATACTGGGAGTTCCGACAGTTTTATATCCGAAGCTACTGTGAAAAGATTCAATATTTCTAAATACCCAACAAAGCATGAAATATCGATGGCATCAACAAGCCATGTTTCATCAACTCTTGGCCAATGTATTGTTGACATGGTGTGCGATGGCCACGAATACCCACAGACAAAGCTGCTTGTCTTAACTGATTTATGTGCCGATGTTGTAATTGGACATGACATCCTTCGGCAACATTCTGCTGTGGAGCTGAATTTCGGTGGTAAACGCCCACCCTTCAATGTTTGCAATCTACTTAGGGCTAAAGTATCACCACCACCACTGTTTGATAATCTAACTAATGACGTCAAGCCTGTAGCCATCAAGTCCCGCTGCTACTCTGAAGATGATAGTCTATATATATAAAATCCAATGTATGTTTGTATGTTTCTATGTTTGTATATTTGTATGTTTGTCCTTTATGGGCTCCAAAACCGCTCGACAGATTGTAATGAAACTTTCAGGCATTATTAAGCATTATTCAAGGATGGTTTGTGTGAAGTTTGGTGCATATAAAGTGTTCAGTACAATCAATCTGAAGGAGGCATATCACCAAATACCTATTCGGAATGAAGATAAACCATTCACTGCATTTGAAGCTAATGGGAGACTTTACCAATACACTCGAATTCCTTTCGGCGTAACTAATGGTGTGGCGTGTTTTCAAAGAACTTTTGACCAGATTATAGAAACTGAAAATCTACTAGACACGTTTGCTTATCTGGATGATGTAACTATTTGTGGTCCTAGCCAAGCAGAACACGATCAAAACCTACAGAGATTCATGGAAGCAACTAAAAAGTATAATCTTACCCTGAACAAAGAAAAATCTAAGTTTTCGTTGACCAGCATTCCAGTTCTGGGGTATATTGTAGAAAACATGTCCATGCGTCCTGATCCTGACCGCTTGCAATCACTCTTGAATTTCCCCGTTCCAACTGATAATGCAAGCCTTAAAAGAGCTCGTGGCATGTTGTCCTATTACGCAAAGTGGATTCCTAAATTCTCTGAGAAGGTTCATTGTCTTACTACAGTCAAATCATTCCCAGTAGGCAGTAAAGAAGTATTGGCTTTTAAGACATTAAAAGAAGAAATAGCAAGATCCAGTATGTCTGCAGTTGAAGAGGATATTCCATTTACTGTAGAAACAGATGCATCTGAATCAGCTATAGCCGCTACCCTTTCACAAGCTGGAAGGCCAATATGTTTCTTTTCAAAAATCCTAACTAAGAGTGAACAACATCTACCTGCTATGGAAAAAGAGGCCCTCACAATATTCGATTCAATACAGAAATGGAGGCATTTCCTGATTGGAAGACGGTTTGAATTAATTACAGACCAGAAATCTGTGTCCTATGTGTTCAATCAGAAACACGCGGGAAAGGTTTTAGAACAACAAGATTTTAAAGTGGCGATTGGAACTAGCACCTTTCTCTTACATCATAGTGTACCGTTCTGCCAAGGAAAACGTAGTAGCAGATCCATTTTCACGAGTTTCATCTTCCATCTCTTTTAGAGATTTCGAAAAACTCCGTAGAATTCATTGTGACATTGGACATCCTGGAATAGTAAGGATGTTTCATTTCTTAAAAAGTAAAAATCTCCCTTACTCTATCGAAGATGTCAGGCGAATGACCGCTTCATGCTCTGTTTGTGCGGAAGTGAAACCTCGGTTCTACCAAAAAACCCCATCAACACTCATCCATGCAATGGCTCCTTTCGAGAGACTTAACATTGATTTTAAGGGACCAATACCATCTGTGACAAGGAATAAATACATACTGACGGTTGTTGATGAGTTTTCAAGATATCCGTTTGCTATTCCTTGCTCGGACACATCAGCATCTTCTGTCATCAAAGCACTTACATCAATCTTCACCATCTTTGGTATGCCTGCTTTTGTCCACTCCGACCAAGGTTCTGCTTTCATGTCAAAAGAACTGAGTGATTTCTTACACTCAAAAGGAATCGCCACTAGCTGATCTTCACCTTATAACCCTCGACGTAATTCTCAAGCTGAGCGATATAATGAAACGATTTGGAAGACTGTATCTCTTGTTCAGAGAAACAAGGGACTGAAGACAGAACAGTGGGAGTATGTTTTGCCAGAAGCTTTGCATTGTATACGCTCGTTACTGAGTACAGCTACGAATGAGACCCCACATGAACGTCTTTTCAAACACCAGAGACGATCATTTTATGGCACCTCTCAACCTCAATGGCTCATGAATCCAGGACCAGTATTAGTGAGAAGGCATGTAAGAAATAACAAATATGAACCTTTAGTGGAACAAGCTCAGCTGATAGAGGCTAATCCAGACTATGCTTGCATCAAGTATAGAGATGGTAGAGAGGCTCTGGTATCGGTGCGACATCTCGCTGTTCCCCCTGAAGCTATCCAACAAGAGGATGAGCTTGTGACTTCGGAAAATCCCAGTCAAGAACTAGATCCTGTTCTTCAAGACCTGAGACGTGAATCTAACCTGCTTCAACCTGAAATTGGGAACTCTATTCAATCTGAAATCGAAGCATGCCCTCTACATGAGACCGTGACCCCTACTTCTGTGATTGATAATGAAGAAACAAACCTGCGTAGTTCCACTAGAGTCCGAAGACCTCCCACCTATCTAAGGGATTACATTAAAAAAAAGATGGGGTGAATGTTATGTAATATGATTTCTATTGTACAGTGCTGTCAAATATTTCTACAGCTGTTTTATTTAAGACTGTTTTGTTTATGTATGTAATGTTTACAGTTTTGTGCAATTCCCTTATGTAAAATGTAGCTGATTATTAAGTTGAATAAGACCATATAAATTTAGTTTCTAAACATTTCTTTTCATAACACAACTATACTGTCTCAAGTATCAGACAAATGTTTTAACAATATTGTTAACATTCTTTTTTAATAGCGTTGACAAAATTTAAAGATACCGGTAGATATTAATTGAATATGGTTTTTTACAGAAAAACCATGACAGACAAACGTAAAGATTTTATGATAGTCATACAAGAACATATCCTGTTGATTATTTCAATAGTTAACATTTAAACAATGATCCATCTAATGTTTCCAGGTTTAGTTCAATGGCAAAAACCAAGGAAGCGCAAGCAAAAGAACGTGAACGAATGATGGCTGAAATTTCCAACTTGCGAGAGAGACTGAATGCTGCTATGACGTACCAAGATGAGCTGGAGAGGAAGAACTCCTCAGCTGATTTAAGGATATCAGAACTACAGCAGGAGCTGGAGGTAGAATTTCTATGTCAATTTAATAGAGAACAATAATAAAAAACAATATTTTTAATGTTCACAAAGACTAACCATACAGAACCTGTCCATAAGTGGTTTCAAGGACGGAGTTATGAGTTTTCGATGATTAGTTTTTAATTTATTATTTTATTGTTACCTGGTAGTAGAGTATCACTATTTCATTGATCCACCCTCTTTTTTACCAGATGATATCAGTAACAGTTGGGATGGTCTCATTCAAATAATGTTCTTTGATTGGTTGAGCCATTTTTATCACCCCTGGAAAACCATTCAACTTGAGTCCAACTCCTAAAAAAAGTGTGGTTAGTGAGAGTATGATCACTATATCATTAAATCCACCATTTTTTTACCAATTGATATCAGTATCAGTTGAGATGGTCTCATCCAAATAATGTTCTTCGATTGGTTGAGCCATTTTTATCCTCACTGGAAAACCAGTCAACCTGAGTCCGCTCCCTACACTCCTAAAAAAAGTTGCTGTGCTCTGCCAGACAGATTCATTTACCACTAAAATGTATAATTTATTTCCAATAGGCCCTACCTGTTAAAATTTATTTATGATAGATGCTATCACTGCATACACCAAAGGATGAACACCATGCTGCAGTATATCAATATTTAAATTTGTGTGGTGTATTCCCAGTAGTACCAAGAATGTAGCTTACCTTATGGTTGCCAGGTTCTTGAAGAGTGTGGATATGAAGCTCCATGTCCGTTTCTCCACTTGTGTGGCATCATCAGGAACACAGTTCATATAAAATTCTACATCAGATATGTTGATGACCCTTCCTCCCAGAATGGTAATGACAGGCCAGCCCAAATACAGGGAGCGGCACAAATATCTGACGGTTTTCATGCGAGTACAGTCCGGCAGCCGAGTGGACGGGGGTAGTGGGGAGCGGCTCATTCTCAAGGCCAAGTGACCCCATTTCAGTTTCAGTCGCCATGGAGCAGTGGACCGGAACAAATCGCGCGTTTGTCGTTGAGGCGTATTTTAAAAGTGGCGATTCTGTTGTTGATACGCAGCGTAAGTTTTGTAGGCAGTTTAATGTGGCTCGTGGGGAACCTATCCCATCCCGAAACACCATCAAATTGTGGGTGGATACCTTTAGATCCACAGGATCAACTGCAAAACGTAGGCTACAGGCCGTCCAAGGTCAGTGAGGACCCCGGAGAACGTGGAGCGAGTGCAACAAGCTGTGCTAACGAGCCCGCATCGCCCGGCGCGTAGACAAGCTGCTGCTCTTGGCATGTCTGATCGCTCTATTCGACGAATTTTGCACTCAGACCTTCACTTTCACCCATATAAAATAGCAATTGTCGGGTAAAAGTGAAGGTCTGAGTGCAATTAGAACATGCTAATTAGCTATAGCAACTGAATCACAGAAAAAATTGGAAAGATCTTCAACAAAACACTAACAAACCAATTGATCACGAAAGGGGTGTATACAAAATAACATGTGTATTGCCTTTCCACAAAGAGTACATCAATTACACTATCACAAATCCTTATATACAAATATTCAAAGAACATAATACCAGCCTAGAATACCGATCCTGATTCATTAGTTGCCAAACACCAAGTAACCAAAATCACCATATTTCATTTACTGATTTATTAACAATCCTCAAACATGTACATTCTAAATCCATAGCTAAACTGCAAGAGATCTACCATGAACATATTCATAATTCAAACCCAGATAAATGTAAATAAATAGTGTAATATAGTGTAAACAATTATGTAAATATACAAACTGTGGAAAAATGTTAAGCTTCATATCCACTCTCTTCAAGAACTTGGCAACAGTAAGGTAAACTTAAGTTATCAATGTTTACTTCCTCCCCCAGTACAAGGTATATATTAAGTTTACTTTAGAGTTATAGAGGTTTAAAAAAATCACCATACGTATGAAGATTGCATTCTTGATTTTTAATTATACTTTAATAAAAATTCAAATGTGTCTTTTACAGAACCAGACTAACGAGATGTCAAAAGAGTCAAGGTTCAAAGAGCGGTTTGAGGACGAGTTGCTTCGAGTCAAGAAGGAACTTACAGTCAAAGACAGTCAGATTGTGACACTGAATGAACAGATCCAGGAACTTCAAATGAAAATGATACACCATCAGAATGCCAATAAAGAGCTGAGGGTAACGTTTCAATACACAAACATATTAATTTTAATTGAACGATGATATGCTTTGTTTGTTATAGACTCGTTGGCATCGTGTATTGGATAATACCTTATAAAGGTAACAAGTACAACAACTACATTATATTAATTCCACTTTGTAAAGACTAGCAGAGTACACAGGCCCCACATACAAGTCCTGTTATTTTTATTTTGCCTGATTATAAATTATCATAATACAGGCATCCCATAAAATAATAGGCCAAATGTTTGCCCATAAATGGTTTGATTCTTACTAGGTACCTTTTGAGTTTAACAGTTTCTTTCTCATTAACTGAGATTCATTCGGGCAGGAAGAAACAAAGTTGATTTATTTCAAAACTAAAATCATCAGGACACATCAAAATCAATCGTTATTTTTAAACATTTAGAGGATTTAATAAATTTAGAATTGAACATAATGACTTGAGCCACCAACTAAAGCTGGTGCCAATTATAGATTTCAGTCGAATACACAAACCTTTCAACCAAGATAAACTCAATGGACAACTTATATTAAACTATAGTATCTTCTATTTCATATCCATAGCTTTCAAAATGAAAAAAATATGGAAGAATATATAGTTTTGACAGTGCACACACTATGAGAGACTCTTTAGTAATGTTCTATTTGAATAAAAATGTTACTACAGCTGGGCCATACGGGATATCTACTTCAGTATCTTAGTGTCAATGGTGTTCAACCTGTGTCTGCAGGTGTTGAATGACAAGAACGGCCAGACCATTGAAGTGATGAACCAGCGACTTGTCAAGTCACAAGAAGATTACCAGAGGGAGGTCGGCCTGGTGGAGGAGCTGCGACAGACCATCACAGTGCTCAACAACCAGGTCAAGGTAGGATTGATGATACCAATAAGTGCCAAGACGCCAAGTAGTCTATTTTAACCCCTTAACCGCCACGCACGAGATATGCCGGGCGATACTAGTTTTCAGAGCAACCGCCACGTACGAGTTATCTCGTGTTGACGTAATCAGCTGTTGTGTTTTATTTTTAACAGCTCACTTCCCGCCTTATCTCTGATATACGTACGTAAACAAGTTGTTGACAGTGCTGCTTGACTAGTGCCGCAATCTGGTGGATTTTAGTGGTATTATAGGTCAGTAATGGTCCCGATCAGTTCCGTTCGTAGTTTCAGTAAAACTGGTGCTTGCGGAAGCTTACGTAATGCTTACGTACATTATGCGTGTCATTATAATTGTGTTTTTTGGTGGTTATTTACTTGGTAGTGTTGAATGAGTAGTAAATATTAGTAATTTAGTAATGGCTGGTGACATGCTTGAGGATGACGATTTATTAGAGTTGTAGACTTTATTGTAGGCCTAATTTTTATTATAGGCCTAACTCAAGAAACCCCCAAACCCCACCCCCCCCCCACAATCACAAATTTTAGTAGGGTATTGTTAAAGCTTAATGTTTTTGAAGATGTCTACAAACAATATCTATATAAATAAAATTAGAGTTTTGTCTGTACATTGCTTAGAATAATGAACTTTTTGGTTATTTTTACATTTCATAGGTCAGAGAAACCGAATCAAACCTTATCTCAATTTCTGTCTGTCTGTCTGTCTGTCTGTCTGTCTGTCTATCTGTCATTCTCTTGGTAACGCTAAAATACGCACTTTATTACAACTACTCCTCAATAACTATAGCACTGTCCCGCCTGAAACTTATTTTCCAAATACTATACATATATGAGATGGTTTTAGACGTATTTCATCGAATATGAGACAGTTAGATATTTAACAGTAAACCCTTGAAAATCAAGTTTTTGTCGATTTTTGACGTGGAATTTCTGGAAGCCCATGTTAACCTTATGAGAAATGAAATTATTGAATCTTAACAGCTGTTTCAATTAAACAAGTTGGTTCTGTTCTGTGATGTTCAATAGCATTAAAGTTACAAGGATTACCAACAGGGTGCAGCACTAGCACTATTATTTCTTTTACATTTATGACAACAGCTAATTTGCAACCTGGAGGCGAGTGAGCGTAGCGAACGAGCTAACCTGAAGGCAAGTGAGCGTAGCGAACGAGCTAACCTGAAGGAAAGTGAGCGCAGCGAACGAGCTCCAACATACAGGTGAGTGAGCGTAGCGAACGAACTTCAACCAGGACGTGATTGAGCCATGCAAACGAGATCAGATAGTAAAAATAAAAGTAAGCCTACCGTTATAGGATCGACCGGCAGACACAGAGGTAATTTAACCTTTTATTGATTGTCATACCGATCCGGAACAACAAAAAACAACATAAAATGAAGCTATGTATAATAGTTTGGCCAGCATATCTTAAAATATGCAAACCAACTGCTGTTCTTTATATAAGAAGGTTTCAACTGAATATTATAAGATCCCCGTGCGTAGAACGGGTACACAGCTAGTTGATAACTATTTTCTTTAGAAAAACAACTGGTACAGTTTATTAAATCACAAGTAAAAATCATCAAAAACGGCAAAAATAAGTGGCAATGGCCTACTTAGACGGCGGTTAAGGGGTTAAGGCAATGATAAGTGAAGGATGAGCAGTGCCGGAACTTCCTCAGTTTTGTCTGTTTTCTGCACCTCCTTTTTCAATGGATCTTTTTCAAGTTTGCTTGGGTCTGCCTCTTTTTCTTGTACCTTGCGGATTCACTCCAACACTCTTTCAAGTTTTCTTAGGGTGTGCCTCACCCATTACATTTATGCTCTCAAATCATATTGTAGTCAGCACCGCATGTTCTCCTAGAAAAGGTTTGGGGGTTTATTCATAGATCTTTTAGAAACATCTTGAAGATATTATTTTCTCATATGAGGTCAAAAAGTTGTCTTCTGTGTTACAGTAGATTGGGTTTAAATGAAGCTTCTTTGTAATAACCAGGTTTTTTACAGGCGAATGAAGATGAAATAGCCAAGTTGTTGTCAGAGGTGGCCAAAACATCAACAATCCAGGAAATGTTTAAAAAGAAGATAAGTAAAATAGAAGGACAGAAGAGTGAGCTGGAAGAACAAAAAGCAAAGTTAGTGATGAGTCTGCAGACTCTACAAAGGACGATCAGAGAAGAACAGAATAAGGGGAAGGATGATAAGATGCTACTAGAGAGCACGATTAGAGAGAGGGACATAGTCAACAGAAACTTACTTAAAGTCAATGGTAAGTCTGTGTTAAATAAGGGAAGCTTTTAGTGGAAGGGATTTAGCTATTTCTGCAATATAAGATTTACCCATCCCCAACAAACAAGACCAACACATCACCAACTCCTGTTGTTTCTCAAGATTGGAAACACTACCATATAGGATGATTCCTAACTAGTGTCATGTAATAAAATGCTGTTGACAGACAATGTTTGAACTAGTCCCTCTATAACTCTAAAATTCAACACAATTTCTTGCAGATTTTTCTCTATTTTTAATCTATACTAGAAACATAGTGTAAATTAACATGAACTCGCATTTTAAAGGAGCGTCAAAACAATATAGTTTGTTTTTCTCTGATTGTGTTCTCTAGTTGATCAATATCATTCAATTTGTTCTAAAAAACATACAAGTATCATAATGCAATTGTAGCTTTCCTTAATGTCTAATTGATTTCACTGACAAAACAAATGATTGAATGTAAGAAGTTGACATCAAAATTATTGCATGTACTATGAAAAAACTATTAACTTTGAGTGATTATTATTTCACTCCAATTATTATATTCTGCATCATGTTGCAGCTCTTGTCAGTGAAAAAGAACAAGTAATAAAATTGATAAATCAAGCAAAGCTGTACTTGGAGCATGACATTGACAACACTCGTTTGGAGTTGAGTAGACAATCACAGCACATTGCTGCTCTGGAGAAGGAGAAGGACAGGTAAACTAGGTCAAACCTTTGGTTATTTATAAGCTTCATAGTAAATCCCATCGCCATGTTATAAAGCTGGAACCATTTTAAGAACAAAATAATATAGTTGAATTGTTCTAAAGTATGCACTGATAAATGCTGTTTTATGCACACACCACGTTACAATGCCAATGATAAAAAACTAATACCATGTAATTTGAACTATATTTTTATCAACTACCATAGTACCAAACACTTGAAGAGAAAATTTAGTTTGATGATATAACTGTGTTATGAGAAGTGGATATTTTATAGCACTTATATCCTAAATTTTATTGATACCAGAGGAAAGCCTATTCAACACTCAGCAAAATATGGGATGCGAATCCTAAGGCTAGCGAGACCATATACAAAGCCAAATAGATTATTAGTTTTATATATATATATATATATATTATAGGTTGAAATAAACCCTTAAATATGGTTTGTATTCTAATCTTATCTTAAACAATAATAATTTGAGGACAGAGGTTTTAAAGCATGAGGTTTAATGGTACATAAGTTAAATGATTAAAATAGGGTTACAAAAAATTGTTCAGTGTTATATTTTCAATATTTAGTAAACATTGTGGTGTTATATTTTCAATATTTAGTAAACATTGTGGTCATTGAATTTTGAGTCATTACAAGGTTGGAGTTAGTTTACCAGCCGATTTTTCTCTTTAAACTACCCTCTGAAGAAGTCATATATTAGGACAAAACTCAGTGTTATTTTTTGTAACCTTTTACCTGTACCTACTCCATTTTTTTTAAATACACTTTGCTAAACACCATCACTAAAATTCTATAATCAATGTTGTATTGTTGCAGACATGTGGCTGATGCTGTGGTGTTGACTAAGAAACTGGAAGCTGCCATTGATGACACTAAGCTGCAGCAAGTAGCTGTCAATGACTACAAGAAGAAACTGACTCAGTCGGAGGGCAAACTGGCTAACAAGGCGAGCGAATGTGAGAACTTGCGCTTTGAACTCAACACTTGCACCAAGAACCTCAATGAAGCTCAGGTCACTGCTGTCAATTGTTATTCAGTCTTATGGTTACCAATTAATGATTCTTCCTGGTTGTTGTTAGTATATATTGAGGTTCATTTGTCTTGCTAAAAAATTTAAAAAATCCTCTGTTGTTGAGTTTTTAAACAACTCATGAGAGTCAGAACACTGTATTGAGTTTTATTGTTTGCTATGGGTTAATACTTATTTTTTATTTCGTTTTTAAGCATATTGACATCCTATGATTCTCAAATTAACTTTAATCATTTCTGAATTCACTTAGTTATATTTTTTAATAAGCTTCAATAAAAAGTTGATTGTAAAGGTAAAATAAAACAAGCCAATATCCGACATGCAAATGCTTTGGTGTGTGGTGATCCTCAACCGGATGTATGGCGTGTTCACATTTGTGAAATTAGATTGAGTGCTCGAGTTGTGAATAGAAATGTAATGGCAAACAATTAATAACACTACTACCATTTTTAGTTTGCAAAAATGACTGAAATAGTAAGCTTGAGTTATTTCTAATTATAAATTTTGTTGACTTTTTGGGCTCTCATGTTTTAAAATCAACCTGTTTGGTTAAAATATATTGTGCGGTTAAATGCCTGAGTTAAAATTTGACTGTGAGTTTTTGTATCTAGATTTATATATGACACAAAAATGAAAGTACAAAACTAAGACCTAGTAACTAATTTATTTTACTTGGCATATATTACCATACCAAGTACAATAAAGAAAGGCTTGATTTAAATTAACCCTTTTTCAGTGAATAAAATTTAATAATTACATACTTTTAGTGTTTAGGGACCCTTCTCCTAGAACTGTACCAAATTTGGCTTATACATGATTTTTTTCTCTACACTGTCTTCGTTGCCTGGACTAATAAAAAAATTGTTAAATGCTGCAAATTTTATATGAATTGTATATGGGAAAAAAGTTTGTATAGTTTGTTCTATTGTATTTTATAAAATTATAAATTGGATTCAAAGTTTTGGACTAGGGCTATAGACATTTTTACTTGATAAGTAAATACCTATAGGTACTTTAATTCTATCTATTGTTCTTGCTAGGACACCCTAGCTAGGCTTACACAGTCTAAATCCAACCAGATTCATGGAAATGCATATATAAAACAAACATAAAACACTATACACCAAAGACAATTATGTAAATGAACAGGGTAATTCTAAATGACGGACCCATTTAAAAAATTGTATTTACCATTCTTAGTTTTATGACTGTTTTAGAAAAGAAAACCTACCCAATGAGCAACAATATGGCGATTGGGGGAAATTATGAATACTAACATTTTACATTGACATTTTTTTAGTTGGTATTGTTGAGCTATTACATTTTGGTAATAACCAGGGCTCTGAAATGTTCGCAATGGGCCGAGCACCACGTAAGGCCAATTTGTTGGAATTTTTATATTTGGATTTTGATTTAAATTGTCATTTTAGGAGGATATCTTGGAGTTCAAACACAAGTCTAAGGTGATGACTCTCCAGTTAGAACAGCTTAAGGAAGACATTGCTGGCAAAGAGATGCAGTTAATACGAGAACAGTTAGGTATGTACCCTGAAACAAGTTTGTTTAAACATTAAGTTATAACCTTTTGAGTGCCGAGCATCTTGCAAGGGTAACAGAAGGAGGTTTGCTACAACTATTCGTTAGACAAATGTGGTCAACCAATCAAAAAAAGATTACACATCTTTAAAAATAAACAAAACACATATTTGTTTTCAATTTTCTTATATTTATTTCTTTAGTTTGTGAATGATTGCATGACGTGATATGAACTTAGTAGGCCTAGAGTGATTTTTGTATTATTTTATTTTAATTTTATTTTGACTGTGTTTGTATTTTTGTAACCAACATGTTTTTCTTATAATAAAAACAATGGTAAGCTATAATTTTGCACTGTTAGTTGCCCAATGAAAATTGGTTAGTCATGAATGACAGTGCCATTTGAAACATGTTGGATAACGAGTCAAGTTTTAAGTTTTTATGTGTCAGTTTAGACCAATCAGGTTTGTAACACAATGTCTCATTAGGGCTCGAGGTAGGCCTTGAACTTCACATATCAAATAGTAACCTCTTTCTCCTAATGCTAGACTTTCTTGTAGCAATATTGAAGACCCAAACTTTTTCTAGAAATGAAATTAGGCCTATACAAATTATTTACAAATTATATTACGGGAAATTCGTGCAATAACTATAAGTATTAATTTTACCTTAATAAAAATTATTGAAATTCCTATTTTACCATGAAAAATGTAATATAGAATTGAATTGAAAACATCTGTATTGATTAAGTACACATTGTTTACATCGAATTGTGTCATTACTCAAAAAAATAGTACATATTAAAAAAATCACTATGATTAATTGCAATAAAAAGAAAGAAAGAAAGATAGAAAGCAAACAAACTACAGTTTAGTAACGTTAAATAGATGCTTTTCAATCAGTTTAACTTTTAACTTTTTTTAATTCCTTGAAGTTATTCATGCCACTCAATTCCACAGAAAGCTTTTAAAATTTTGCATCTGCGCAGGATGTTTTTTTGTAAAAAAAAATTCAGCCTGGGTAAGTCAATGGAAATTGTATTCCTGTTTGTGGTAAAATAAATGTGTCACCTAGTCTGGGAACAAAATTATTTAAGTACAGGGCCTAGCTGTTTTACATGTAGAGCTGTAGGAAAAACATAGAGACAGTCATTATGCCCAGATTAGTGAAATGGTGACAGATAGAATCATCAAAATAATAAAAATTTAGATTCTACATGATGCGGATAGCTCTTTTTTGGAGAAGGAGAATTCTATCCAAATTTTGTTTTTGATGTACCGCCATAGATAGCTACCAAAATTTATTGAAAAGTCGATAAAAGCAAAATAAAGAGTTTTTAGTTAGGCTATATTGATATAACAGAAATTAGACATCCATCTATATAAGGCAAATATCCCTTAAGAAAATTATGCACTACATGATCAACATAAAGATTCCATGTTAAGTGTTCATCTAAAATTAATTCTAAGTAACATCGTTGAGCTGACTTTTTTCAAAACTTGATTATTTAAAAATATATTACAGGATCAGTGGAGGTTTGACTACCTAGGTACTTTAATTAGTTTTGCTAGTATTTAATTATATAGGTTGTGATTATTTAAAAAGTGGTTTATAGGTGACAGATTTTGAATCACACCGTTTTCTTAGTGATCTAGTAACTTATTACTGATCTTTTAAGTAGCATCATCAACATAAAGACAAATATTCTTTGATGAACTATTAAGTAACAGAAAAAAAGTAATGGGCCAAGTATTTAACCCTGAGGTACACCATGATGAATCTGAGTTAAAAAAGATTCGCCACAAACAATATGACTTTTTTATTTCTTTTGATCTTAACAAATTGTTGTCTATTAATAGTTAATCTATTCATAGTTCATATTTAATTTAATTCAGCTTTACCGAATTTTAAAATAAACATGCTCCGGAGTTGTTGTAAGTTTAGAAAAAAGTTTGGCTGCTGTATGCATCAGAGCTTTGTTCATATAGTGTAATTTACCAACTGTAGTGACTGATTTCAAGCCGGTTTTAGTTTCTTGGGTAATACCCATAGCTTTAGGACTTTGGTAGATGCTTTAGTTAATCGCTGATCAGATAAACCACGGGAATCACCAGGTAAGTTTCTGGATGTTTTAGCGCTGCGTAAGGCCCACGCTGAGAAGGAGGCGATGAGGATAGAGACACAGAAGGTGGAGGCAGAGTTGAGAGAGATAAAACAGGTTGTTAGCAACTTAGAGATGGAAGTGAACAGTCTGCAACACAGTGGGAGAGAGGCGTACGCTCAGCACCACAGGGACCTCAAAGAAATTGATCAGGTCACTAAAAAAAAATGTAGTACTAGATTGAGATAATGATATTTATACGACTCCAAAATACCAGGTTGTGTATTTTAAGGCGAGTGAAGGATGATACTTGTAGAATGAGATAAGAGCTTTGTTACTGACTGAGATCAGCTGGATCTTTTGCCAGAATAACTAATTTAAAGTCTAATGATCAAGGATAGATAGTGAGGAAAAGGGCTTGGCACAAAATCCAAAATATAGATTGATTTAACAACTAGAAACAATCACAATGACATTCATTCATATTTAATTTATGTACCGTGGGCACCAGGCTCTTGCTAATGAATTTTACAATTTATAATTAGTTTTAAATTTAGTTGTGTACTCACAATAAAATAGTTTATTTTCTCTTCCACACTCACAACACAACCATAGTAAACAAATGAAATATCCGAATGAAAATAAATGAAATGTCGTTACCACAGCTAAGGGGTGCGAGAGAAGCAATTAATGCACAACTTGTGCGGCGAAATGATGAACTGGCAGTGTTGAGAGAGAAGACAAAAACATTGCAGAGCAGCTTGGATGCTGGACAGAAGCAGTACTCCCAGCGGCTCGAGGATATCAGGGTCCTCAAGCTGGAGATTCAACGACTCAGGTTTAAACTTTCCCATAAACAAATTAGTTTAAAAAATATTAGATATTAAGTTTGAATTTGCTTTTCTTAATGGTTTTGTATTTGTATCTTACTTTTAAAAACCAGCCACTAGGTTGTAATGGTTCAGTAAATTAAGGGACTAATCGGAGTTTTAAAATGTGAAGCACCACTAGGATCAAACTTATGACTTATCTGCCATGACGCAGAAGAAAGTTAGCCCTAACATTTAGTCCTCAAGCTAATTTAACTAACTTTTGTACGGATTAAAAAAAAAACAGATAGGCCTAATATTTGAAATATTGACAATGACTACTTCATCCAAAAATGCAATAATCCAAATCAAGACATAAGTTATTTTTTTATTCATCCATGGCTTTTGATTAGTATGAGGTACATATAGGTTTGGTAGCCTACTAAGTGAGAAAGATTCTGGACCCAGATGCTATTTGTCAATTAGTTATGCAACAAAAGGTCGATGTTGGAACAAAGGGATTGTAACCAGTGTTGGGTTGGGATGTTCCCTTACATACGCACAGAATTCCAGTGCATAGATAAACAGATAAATAAAAATTAAAGAAACAACACAAAATACATTAGTCTGAAAGACCTATGTAGCTGGAAGTTTAATATGTATTTCAATTGCTCATTCCTAAATTAAGTTATTATTCATCTTATATTTATGGTAGATTAACTTAAAAATTAACTATAAAATATTAAAAGTTGTTAAATAAAATTCTAAGGCAGTCACTTAGATTGATATACACTTCTCCCTTTAGGCAATAGACAATAGACAAAGCTTATTTGTACATAACGCCTGAACTCAATAATTACAGAAGTAATTCCCAAGCTGGTACATGGTAATTTTATATAATATATACAGTACATAAATTCCTCAAACTAAATTATCTTCTAACAAGTGTAAAGCCATTAAAATTTATTTTTAAAAATATATGAATTTTGTAATACACTCTTTGGCTAAAAGTCTGTTTTAGCTTAGATGTAAAGTTTGATTTTGATAACGATTTGTATGAACTAGGCAAATTGTTGTAGATTTAATCCCATGCAAAGATGTACAATTTCAAATTTTGTGTGCAAATGTTCAGGAAATTGAACATTTTAGTTATTATTTCTTGTTTGATAGTTATGATTTATGAGGGTTAATCCAAAAATAAAGTCCAATTATAATAAAAGATTAAAACTTAATTTTTTTCAAAAACAATTGTTTTATTTACATTCCTTGCATATTTGTATATATTTCTACATAATTTCAATGCTTATTTAAACATTTGTTACATTGTTCAACAAGCTTTGGAATGCCTAAGTCGTATAAATCAGCCGCCTGCAAAGATAACCAGTTTTTTACCTCTGTGTTGCAACTAAAAAACTCCTTTATGTAGCTGAACAATTAGAAATCACATTCGTTCTACTAAAATTTGGGAAATCCATTTCGAGATCTGAAATATTAAATAGTTGATCTTCACAAATTTTTTGGTCAACCACATTGACCAAATCTTCTGAAATCACTGATGGTCGTCCAGATCTTGATTCATTATGAACATTTTCCAGTCCTTCATTAAAAGCTTGCAACCACTTGCACACTTTACTGTCACTCATTATGTTAGAACCGTCAACTTCAGTAATCTGCTGATGACTTTCTGCCGCTGAAACGTTTCTTGCAGACAAAAACCAGCACACAGCAACAATAACAACGCTAATGGCGGCGCTTGACGCCCAAGGCATGCCAGGAGTCGGTGCGCATGCGTGTTTCATCCTTGGCGCCCACTTTAAATGGTTATAGCAAATCGGACCTTACTTTTGGAATAACCCTGGTATTTGATATTTTTTCATAAAAGAAAGGATTTGCATGAACATACTTTGCTATTTCAAATATATTAAGATATAACAATGTTAAAATGAAATGTGTTTTTTCAAAAAAGGTTTACAGCGGGTTTTAGAAAAATAGTCCTGAAAATGGATTTTTAGAATGAAATAGAATAGAAAAATAGAATGAAAAAAATTATCTTTATATCTATATATTTTTGAATAGTCGACTGACGACTGAACATTATTGAGTCTTGAATATCTGGTTGTGAACAGTTTGGAAAAGGACGTATTGACTCGCTCGCTCAACAACATGGCAGATCTCCGCACGGAGATTCACCACGTGGAGAAAGAGCTTAACAAGGAGAGGGTGAAAGCAAGAGCTCTTGAGGAGGAGCTACAAAATCCCCTCAACACCCATCGCTGGCGTAAACTTGAGGTAGGCATAATGTATACGTCCCCACAGTGAATTATTTCATAGTGAAATAGTAGTTTACCTAGTTTACCCTACTTTACCTATAACAGCTTTTTAATAATTAACAATCATTACTCATAACTTCTAAGAAAGGTTATGTTAATGTTTTTGTTTATTTTATAACCCTCATTTAATTGGCCTTAACAGGTGATTTGTTGAAGTTTGAAGCGTTAGAATTTTAATTTTATTTCTTTTCTCGCAATCCTTGAACCTCCTTTGTCTGTTACTCGTGTTGTTAAGTAAAACAATGCTGTTAAGTAAAGCTTTTTAATTTTAGGAACTAAACTGAAACGGCTCTAGTTTAAAAAAGGGTCAATCTTGTTTGAGTATGAGAAGCAAAGTAGCTTTCTTAAGTTCACTTTAAAAGTGATTTGTGATTGTTGTAGATCTATGCTACACAGTGGCAGTTCCAAGGAGCTATAGGGCCGGGCTAAAGCCCTCCCCCCATTGGACCATAAAAATATAAATTATTTAACTATACATTTTGTCATAAAAACGTAACAGAGACTTTAGGACACAGTTCTAGACTTTAAAAATGACTTTAAAAAGTCACTGAAATTCTTTAAAAATACAAAAATTTTGGAAGAGGACCCATATACCCCCCCCCCCCCTTTACCCCTTGTTGAGGTCCTAGAACTGCCACTGATGCTATATAACTCGTCGTCTTTGGTAGATATTAGATAAACCATTGCATATTTATGCAAATTAAATACAGTGTTTGTAAGTTGTTTTAGTTATCTGTTATGGAAACGTTATACGGCAGTGGTGCATTGGGGTTGAAACACATGGGGACAGAACTCCTGTACCCCCATTCTGTTTTTTCCAAGAATCCTATATAAAAATCCTATGTATGTTATACAGTTGTCCATAAATAATATTCCTAATATTTATAAAAAACTTTGATTCACAAACACTTTTCCAGTACAATATGTATTTTCCTCAGAGGTACCCATACAAAGTGTTTGTTGTAATTTTTATTTCTTCTTAATATTCTAATTGACTTTCATTAGTTTATTGAATCACATCGGTTTTTATATTATTAAATATATAGTATATATATATTGAGCTCAAATGATATTTCCATTGTCCAGGGTTCAGATCCATCGAAGATGGAGTTGGTGCAGAAAGTAAAGATGCAGCAGAAGCGTATCTTAGAGCAAGGCAACGCACTAGTGTTGATGGAGGAGCGATGTGTTGAGATGGAGCGTAAACACGCTCACCTGGAGACAACATTGGCTCGCTACCAGCACGAGCAGCCTGAGCGAGATAGAGCGGAGAGTTGCAAGAATAGACTTTCCCTAACAGAGAAGAGGCTCAAGGTAAACGCCTCTAGGAAAAACTATAAGACAGCAATTATGGACTCAATAATTTTAGACATTGCCTCAAACATGTAGTTTTAGGGGGAGAATACTTGGGACATAGTAGTGGTAGGCAGAACTTTTGCGTTGAGTTCCTAATTCAGACCCAAAAAGGTGGTGGAAATGGGAACCTCCTAAAGCTGAAAGTTCAATCCAAAGTGACCTCCATATACTTGTAAAATGGGCATTGTGACTAAGCTGTACTCCGTTGAATGCTTGTGCTTAAGATTAAAGTTGCTCATTTGGAAACAACTAAGAAACCATTTTTGTGTGATTTAAATTAGGCTTTCAGACTCTACAATATTATTTAACCTTTTGCGATTGAAAGGTCAGCAGGACTGGCCAAGTCCAAGGCCTTCGCCCCCCTCAGCATTTATCATGGCGGCTCACTCCCGGCAGTTCAGAATTGTTTTCACTGAAATCCTGCAATGTTAGCACAGGGGATTTAAATTGTAATTCTTTAATACTTTTCAATGAAATGGCGACCATACTAAGTAGGTATTTTAAGCCAAGTATGAATGGAGATGAGTGTAGGATGAGTGGCGCGATCTTGTAGTCTTGTTAGTGACTAAGGCCAAGGCCACACTAAAAAAACAGGCCGTAATGCTCGTCAAGCATGACGTCACGATAGAAGACGGCAATGACGTAATCTATATCTATACTATTATATAAAAATCTAATGGTGTCTGTCTGTATGTGTATTACTAATAGGTGCAAAAACTACTTAACCAACTGGGCTTAAATTTTACAAAAATATAGCTACCATACCAAGGACCATTATAGGACTATTCACATTTCGATACTGACCGTAGGCTTTGCCCCTTTGGCTTTAAAAGTTCTGAGGTGAACATTTTAAAAGTAAATATTGATTGGTCTCCATGGCTGTGATGAGAACACTAACAATGTTTGTTTACATTTGCTTTGACATTTAAATATAAACAAGAAGAACTGCTAAACTGCATATTTCACAATTTCAGACAGCTGATACAAAGAAATTAAATATAATATTTTCCATAAATATGAGGTAGGTTTATTTTAAGCTAACCTTTCATCATGGATTATTTATTCTAAAACTATGTCAATGATTATAGAAAAAAAAAGATTTTATAACCGTTGCTGTATCAACTCTGGCTCTGCTTTGGATTTTTTTAAAGCGTCTTAAGTTAATAATCATAAGTGAAAATAATGTTATTGATATGTTTTCATGGAAACAGTATGAAAATTACAATGTATAGATGTTTTGTATGAATTTGGAGGCTACTTTAAATAAATTCTAACTGCTTCACATGTGTTAGATTAACTTAACATAACTTGCACATCACATTGTTTTTTATTTGTATTTAGGTAAATTAAGTTATTGTGTTTTGCTAAACCTATGCTTAAATTAAACTAAAGAATATCATCAATAACTAAATTGTCGTTGATTTTTGTTTTCTAAAATCTGTTGTATATGTGTAACTATATTTAATTATCAGATGGTAATACAAACTACTCTTATTTTATCTTAACATAGCTTTCAGTTCACATTTACTCTATTTGATACATTTATTATTTGTGTTTTGCCACACCACTGATTAAATTAAACCAAGGAAAATATCATAACGCTAAGCAGTACACAGAGTTCTTTTGTTTCTAAAATCAATGAAATATATGTTACTATGTTTTCTTAATGGTAAGTGTGAAAATGTAAAGGCAATGGACGATGGAACTGATTAAAAGAACTGGTTTGTATATTAAGTTGTTGTTGATATTTTTGTATAGGTAGTAGAATCAGAGAGGCAATGAAACATATACTGTATTTGCTATTACATTTTTTAGTCCTTGATGCTTTGATAATCATATTAGTTTTGTCTGCTGTCTTTAATGCTAAATTATTAGTTTGAATTTTTTTATAGTACCTATAGATATAGTTTCTTTAATATTTCAAAAGACTGTATTGATAAGGCACAGCAATATTTATAAAGTTTATAACAGCTGACTTAGTTTTGATTTATTGTGAGTGAAAAAAACTGAAGATGAAAGGATTTGTGATTTAATATAGAGAAGAGTTTAATATAAAGATATTTAAATTTAATAGATGAGTGAACGAAGTGAACGAATCTATGTATCGTGTATAGCGGAGTCGGAGAAAAGTTGTCCGCTGGAGTATGTGTGTGTGTGTGTGTGTTCGCACCTAAAACTCAAGAACCGTTGCACTTATAGCGTTCAAATTTTGCACAAATAGTTATGACACCAGTGTAAAGACACCATTAAAATTCTAGACGATTCCGCTCAGTAGTAATTATAAAATACTTAAAAAACATTTTTAAATTTGTCCCATAAGAATAACATTAGGAGCTACCTTCTTCTTCTTTTTATTTGTTTACGTTTTGCGACCAACAATTTTGTTGTCTACTTAAGACAGAGAGAACGGCTTTTACTCTAAGCTCTTTCATTCATGGAGTAAACAGTTTGGCGTCTATGAATATATATCATTATAATTTCACAGCTTTCAGAATAATGTTATTTAAGCTAATTAAATCTCACAACTTTCATGATAATAAATTGAACTTAACAATATTAGTCGGCAGTTATATACCGTTTATGTTCAGTATTAGAATTTCGCCTTTTAATTAAAAGTATATAGGTATGTATGTATTTAGAACAAAGCAGCTTTTTACATTATTCAATTTAATGTTGGCATTGAATATTAAATATTCAAAAATGTTGGTATATTTTTATACTAAAATGCTATGCGAAGGGGGGGGGGACAGGTCCCCGACGTAGAGAGTAGTAAAGAAAGCGGAAAGGTGAGCAATGAAAAGAAAGGAGTACGGAAACCCTTTATGACTGTTAAATTAACGTATCTGTAATACTTAAATGCTATGGAAAGATAGGGAAACAGGTCTACGATGTAGGAAGTAGTGAAGGAAATAGTGAAGGAAGTAGTCAAGGCGAGCGCTGCGGAGTGTGGGGGGCCTTTATGACAGTTAGAATAATGTATCTGCAATTCTAAAAATGCTATGGGAAGGGAGAGAAACAGGTCCACGATGTAGGCAGTGGTGAAGGAAGTAGTCAAAGTGAGCAGTCCGGAGTGTGGGAAGCCTTTGTGACAATTATAATAATGTATCTGCAATTCTAAAAATGCTATGGGAAGGGAGGGAAACAGGTTAACGACACTTAGGAAGTGGTGAAGGAAGTAGTCAAGGCGAGCATTCCGGAGTGTGGGAACCCTTTGTGGCAGTTAGATTAAAGTAAATGCCATGATAAAATGCTATAGGAAGGGAGGGAAACAGGTCCACGACGTAGGAAGTGGTAATGGAAGTAGTCGAGGCGAGCATTCTGGAATGTAGAAACCCTTTGTGACAGTTAGATTAGTGTAACTGCAATTCTAAAATGCTATGGGAAGGGAGGGAAACAGGTTTACGACGTAGGAAGTGGTAATGGAAGTAGTCGAGGCGAGCACTCCGGAGTGTAGAAACCCTTTGTGACAGTTAGATTAATGTAACTGCAATATTAAAATAATATAGGAAAGGAGGGAAACAGGTCCACGACGTAGGAAGTGGTAATGGAAGTAGTCGAGGCGAGCATTCTGAAATGTAGAAACCCTTTGTGACAGTTAAAATTAGTGTAACTGCAATTCTAAAATGCTATAGGAAGGGAGGAAAACAGGTCCACGACGTAGGAAGTGGTGAAGGAAGTAGTCAAGGCGAGCATTCCGGAGTGTGGGAACCCTTTGTGGCAGTTAGATTAATGTATCTGCCATGATAAAATGCTATAGGAAGGGAGGGAAACAGGTCCACGACGTAGGAAGTGGTGAAGGAAGTAGTCAATGTGAGCAGTCCGGAGTGTCGGAAGCCTTTGTGACAATTAGAATAATGTATCTGCAATTCTAAAAATGCTATGGGAAGGGAGGGAAACAGGTTCACGACACTTAGGAAGTAGTGAAGGAAGTTTTCAAGGCGAGCATTCCGGAGTGTGGGAACCCTTTGTGCCAGTTAGATTAATGTATCTGCCATAATGAAATGCTATAGGAAGGGAGGGAAACAGGTCCACGACGTAGGAAGCGGTAAAGGAAGTAGTCAAGGCGAGCAGTCCGGAGTGTAGAAACCCTTTGTGGCAGTTAGATTAATATACCTGCAATACTAAAGTGCTATAGGAAGGGAAGGAAACAGGTCCACGACGTAGGAAGCGGTGATGGAAGTAGTCAAGGCGAGCAGTCCGGAGTGTAGAAACCCTTTGTGACAGTTAGATTAATATACCTGCAATACTAAAATGCTATAGGAAGGGAGGGAAACAGGTCCACGACGTAGGAAGTTGTAATGGAAGTAGTCGAGGCGAGCATTCTGGAGTGTAGAAACCCTTTGTGACAGTTAGATTAGTGTAACTGCAATTCTAAAATGCTATGGGAAGGGAGGGAAACAGGTTTACGACGTAGGAAGTGGTAATGGAAGTAGTCGAGGCGAGCAGTCCGGAGTGTAGAAACCCTTTGTGACAGTTAGATTAATGTAACTGCAATATTAAAATAATATAGGAAAGGAGGGAAACAGGTCCACGACGTAGGAAGTGGTAATGGAAGTAGTCGAGGCGAGCATTCTGAAATGTAGAAACCCTTTGTGACAGTTAGATTAGTGTAACTGCAATTCTAAAATGCTATAGGAAGGGAGGAAAACAGGTCCACGACGTAGGAAGTGGTAATGGAAGTAGTCGAGGCGAGCAGTCCGGAGTGTAGAAACCCTTTGTGATAGTTAGATTAATATACCTGCAATACTAAAATGCTATAGGAAGTGAGGGAAACAGGTCCACGACGTAGGAAGTGGTAATGGAAGTAGTCGAGGTGAGCATTCTGGAGTGTAAAAACCCTTTGTGGCAGTTAGATTCGTGTAACTGCAAATCGGAAATGCTATGGGAAGGGAGGGAAACAGGTCCACGACGAAGGAAGCGGTGATGGAAGTAGTCGAGGCGAGGAGTCCGGAGTGTGGGAACCCTTTGTGACAGTTAGATTAATGTATCTTCAATAATAAAATGCTATGAGAAGAGAGGGAAACAGGTCCATGACGCAGGAAGTGGTAAAGGAAGTAGTCAAGGTGAACAGTCCAGAGTGTGGGAACTCTTTGTGTTAGTTAGATTCGTGTAACTGCAAATCGAAAATGCTATGGGAAGGGAGGGAAACAGGTCCACGACGAAGGAAGCGGTGATGGAAGTAGTCGAGGCGAGGAGTCCGGAGTGTGGGAACCCTTTGTGGCAGTTAGATTAACGTATCTGCAATAATAAAATGCTATGAGAAGAGAGGGAAACAGGAAATACATTACGTATATTACCAATGACTTTGGTTAATTAATGTACGAGAAGTTAGGATTGTTGTTGACTGAGATTTGGTTTTTTTTAAGAGGTTGGTCCAGCCTCTTTTAACCTCGCCCGTGCGTGGATCGTTTACAGCAAAGCAATTGGTGAGCCGGTACAGTACAAAGGTGAACTGTACTGATAAAATTTAGTGGCAGTGACCAGGATCCGAACTCACGACATCGCTGCCTTGGGCCCGAAGTTCGCGTGACGCTACCGACTTGAGTCACCAACTCACCATTATTTGCCCCGACTCATGGGTTGATTTGCCCATACAAATAACACTATTGTGTACACCAGTGACCCCGGTATGTGTGCTAGGTGTGGGTAAACTCTTTCATTATTGTGCTCATGTTCACTCATCCTTTTACGCGCAGAATAAGCGTACTACTAGTAATTAGTATTTTTGCAACTTCAAAATTGAAATTTAAAATGTCAATAATAAATTAAAAGATGGGTAATTAAGGGAGATGAAGGTAAATCTGGTAAATCATGTATGTCAAAGTTTTACTCGAAGATTTGGTCAGTTTTTCTCATATCAGCCTACACAAGATTTAAAATTAATCAAAACCAAAATGGTGGTATCCACTACTTACCAGATTTAAAAGTCATAACTTAAACGTTTCTATTAAGGCCATAAAAGTTGAATTTTGTTTCTAAAAGTGTTGGCAGATGTGTAACTATTATATGCAAGGGATAAAGATTAAAATGTTTCTATTTTGTGTCCACTTCCCGTTGCAAAGCACGGGTACAACAGCTAGTCTATATATATGAAATCCAATGTATGTTTGTATATTTGTATGTTTGTCCTTTATGGACTCCAAAACCGCTCGACAGATTGTAATGAAACTTTCAGGCATTATTAAGCATTATTCAAGGATGGTTTGTGTGAAGTTTGGTGCAGATCCGTCAATAGGGCTCCGCCCCAGTGGCTCTGGAGTTTCCCATGTTAACCTTATGAGTACTCATGACAAGGGGTAGTTATTTATTTATTTTCCAAGGAAAGATTAAAACAAGCAGCTGATCACAAACGGCAAACTGCGTCATAGCCGTCTTCTATCGTGACGTCATGCTTCACAAGCATTACGGCCTGTTTTTTCAGTGTGGCCTTGCTAAGGCCGACATATTCCTTAGACACAGCTGTTAATTAATAGTCCATACAGCTATAATGGCAACTAAGGGACCTACAGTTTATAGTGGAATCCAAACCACATTTTTGCTTTTGGTATATACGAATTGGTCTAATTACCAGGACAGTACTGCGGATAGTCGTAGTACTCAACCGTGCGGACGTTAATCTACACCAGGGAGTATCGCATCCACAGTGAATGCCTATAAATATCCACAATTCGTGACCTCCTAGTAGCTGGATTACAGGACGACGCCACCCGTCCCAGTATTTTGTAGCAAAAATAAAATAATAAATAAAAGAATTGTAATTTTATACTGACGATAGTTGACAATCCCGATATTTATTATGGATCAGACAACGAAAGCGATGCTAAGTGTTTTTGTAAAACTTGTTTAAACAATCCAGGACTTCATATGGGAGAATGTTTAGAAAAATACCACTAAGAGAAAAAAATCAAAGAAGATTAAAAAATCATTTTCAACTTGTTGTTTTTATGAGTGACCAAATACCTAAATTTTACACGTTTAGTACATACGTAAGTTATACTGTATCACTTTTCATTTTCAAACAAATGTATGTTCATATTCAATATCTTATTTGTTTTATTTATAAAAAAAAAATAAGATTTTGAATATAAACATACATTTGTTTGAAATTAAAAGTGACATAACTTACATATTTAATAACTTCTTGATCAGCATTGTACGTGTTATTAAATTTACGGAAAGTAAATAAAAGAAACGTCTTATAACACTTAAAACATATAATAACATATAATGTAAAAATAGAAATAAGTTGATTAATGAACAAATACATTTTGATTCCAGTTATACTTATAAAAATGTCAAAAATATCAAAAACTACAACCCTGAATTTCAGTAAGAAAAAATACATAGTCCCTCAATTAGAGGATGTAACAATAGAAAACCACACCAAATTTCTCGGTGTTATCCTTGATAACAAACTAACATGGAAAGAGCACATCAACCACTTAAGCAAAAAAATCAGTACTGGAATATATGTCGTCAGAAGAATAAACTACATAGGCGGACTCTCCGTGGCCAAAACAGCTTACTTCGCACTGGTAGAGTCGCATCTTAGATATGGCTTGACAGTGTGGGGAGGAACTTCAACAAAAAATATGAGAATTCTTGTCCTTCAAAAGAAAGCCATAAGAGCCCTCGCCAACCTTGTCCCACCACAGACTTGCAGACTAGCATTCGCAAACCTAGGAATCCTCACAGTGGTGTCTCTCTACATACTTGAATCTATAAAGTATGTGAATGAAATAAACCTCCCAAAAAAACCGAGACCTGCACCACTACAACACCCGTCATGGCTCCAAATTTGCACTACCAGTTCACCGAACAACTCTTTGGGAGAAAAAACCTTCCTACACCGGCTGCAAGCTGAGGAACCATCTACCTGACTACCTGAGAGACCTGACTGGCAACAAGCTACACCAGGAGTTGAAGAAGTGGCTAATCGCAAGACCCTTCTACTCAATAAAGGAATTTTATGGAAATGAACATGTACAATTCACTATTGTATTGACACTATTGTAATTCTTGACGAATTAACAATAAAGAATATTGTATTGTATTGTATGTATTGGCCGGTGCTTCCGGTAGCCAATAGGGTATAAGTAGGGACGCCATTAAGATTCTTGTCATTCGCCTATTGGGTCTGATGATGATTGGAGTGTCCAATCGAAATCGATCACCACTTACACTTACTCCACTTACACTTACTTTACACTTACTTAACTTACTTGTTTTGTATATTTACCGTCTTGTGAGTAGCAGTATAAGCGTAAATGTATGTTTTAAGTGTTATAAGACGTTTCTTTTATTTACTTTCCATTACATATTTACTAAACGAGTAAAATGTAGGCATATTGTCACTATTGTTTTATTTAATAAAAAAAAAAACAAATAAGATATTGAATATAAACATATATTTGTTTGAACATGAAAAGTGATATAATTTACTTATTTACTAAACGTGTAAAATTTAGGTATATTGTCACTCGTACAAACAACAAGTTGAAAGTTCTCTTTTAATATTCTTTGATTTTTTCTCTTAGTGGTATTTTTCTAAACATTTGCCCATATGACGTCCTGGATTGTTTAAACAAGTTTTACAAAAACACTTCACATCACTTTCGTGGTCTGATCCATGATAAATATCGGGATTGTCGACATCTTCTTCATCAGTACATAATACCATATCAGCATATAAGTCTCTCAATTTGTCTTAAATGATTGTCCATTATCACTCATTTATAAATCTGGCCAGGGGGTAAAATTCCGGGCGTAAAGATTTGGGCTGTACATTTTGAGCTGACCTCATGAAGGGGGTAAAAGTCTGGGGGTAAAATTAAATTCCGGCCCGTACACTCAAGGTTTTTATAATTTGATGTATTTCTGATTAAATTCACAACTGTGAAAATATACGTTTAACTCCGCATTTAATCCATCAAACTGATGTCGCGAAACTCAAAAGTTTGCAGCCGGAATTTTACCCCGTGGTTTGTGACGTCATATTTGCCCAGGGGGTAAAATTCCAGGGGCATAAAAATCATCTAACCTGTTCTGGTCAGCTAGTGTTTATTTTAGTTGTTTCCACCACAATCTTTATGGTATAATGTTAAAAGCCCGCTGTTCGTTTAGCTTAACAATTCCTCACTTTGAACTTTAGTAAATGCACTAATTTTGAAAATAATACTATAAATAAAATTTTATTATATTGCAATTTTCTTACAACGATATATTATTTGTTATAAGGAATTGACATTGAAATTTCATATTGTAACATCAAATAGGGTGACATTTCTGTGGGGTGATGGGATATTATATAACATTGAAAAAATTAGATAAAATAATACATATTAACAAGGAGAAACATTTTAAATAACTGATAACATATTATTAGGGGCATTAACAAACATTGTAGGAGAAAACACACAAAGAAATTAATATTAATGATTAATTAATTACACATGTAATACTACACGTGGCTATGTGTAGGGTGCAGCTGACCAAAAATATCCATATTTTGTGTTTGTATTATTAAGTCACCGGTAGGGTATATTTATATTGTATGTAGACTTACCTAACCCTAAATAATTTTCAGTATCTTCTTGGAGATATTGAAATGAGGATGGATCAAATAAACGAACTAAAAGCAGAACTGGAAAAGTCAAGCAATGAAATAATAACCTGGAAGGAAAAATACTATGAACAGGTAATATTAGTTCGTTAACAGCCCTAAATTGAATGGTGCCTTGAGTTCAGTTTAAAAGTAAAAAGTAATAATCCTTGCCCACAACCAAAAAAAGAAGTCTCTGGGCCATGTTAACACGTTGAGCGGCAAATAAAACAACGTCTCACAGCAATGGCTAAACTCACAGTGGACAAATAGTTTATAATGGTGCTTTGACAAGTATACTCATCGCCCGCCACTAAGAAGCACTAGCAGTGATGAGATTACGCGTCATGCGCAGCTAACGTGTTAACAAAGAAATTACTTCTCTGAGAATTTTAATTTGTTTATCCAAACTTTCAGGCTTATATTGTTGAGTTACTTTAACTTAAGCGTCCTTAACTTATGCTTTAACTTAAGTTTCTTAACACAAAGATGGCTTTTGTACTCACAATTGGTGTACTCACGTATGGTTATTTGTTTTTTACACTTTGATTTAGGTCTTTGATCCAGGTCTATAGTTATTTGTGCAACTAGTGAGCAATGTGAGCAATTGACTCACTCGAGAGAAATACTTACTCACAAGCCGTAGGCGAGTGAGGAATGGTTTCTCGAGTGAGGCAATTGCACTTTGCATTCGAGTTGGGCATTATATTTTTCCTACAGATACCATAAAACAAATAAATTGGTAAAGAAACGTGACATATTTTTACACAGAAGTGAACTTTTAATATTACATTTAATGATACAACAGTATAACAGCTGACCAGCTGATTTACAGCCAGTGCTGCCAACGTATTTCGCGCGCATACGACCTTGTCTGCATGTTACGCGCTCACTATTTCGTGCCTTCACGTTGCAAATCTGGAGTGAGTGAGACAAAGTAATTAGAGTGGGACAATGTTAACATTGTCTCACTGATGAGCGAATTTGCCACTTTGCTTTCTCAAATCAGTGAGAGAACATGTACATTGTTAGGTAATTGTAGGAAAAGGTTTTATTTTTAGCTTAAATAAAGCATTTTCAAATAATATTATTATTGTTCAATGTTTTGACACTAATTTAGAGATATAAATGTGAGCAAAGCTTCAGACAAAACAAAACCATGTATTTCGATAGAGATAATTTAAATTTAGATTTATCTAGGCCTAGTTATTTTTTCAAAACATATTATGTTCAAATCAAAGTTCATTTTCATCAAATGTAGCTTTCTTACTTTGAACAATGTATTGTTTTTTTCTCTTTTTTTCAGAAAAAGCAAGTTGAGAAGTTTAAACTGAAGATGAGTGATATGAAAAAATCAAATAAAGTTGTTAATTCAAAGAGTTTTAATGGACTGGACTCAAAAGGAAAAGAATTGCCACCTTTGCCATGTAAATCAAGATTCATGGGTGGAGGATTTAACATATCTAACAGTTCTATATAAACAACAAAAAATGGTTTTGTACATTTATATATTGGTACAGAAAAATTAATAGCCCATAAACTACTGAAGAATGTTTTTGTCATTGGATACCTCCTTGGAATAATATTTGATCTATATTCATAGGAGAGTTCAACTAAACGTAAAAAATGCAGGGATCTCGTATACGAGTGAAAATTTAAAAACGTACGTTTTCATGTCCCTGGCCTTTTACTGCGTAGATACTGGATTTGTAGTTTATTATTATGTGTTTTAATATTTTTTGGGACGGGGGCAACATGTTACACACATTTATTTGGTTTTAAATAGGTTCTAGGTATTTTTTTCATATTTTTAAAGTCTCAAAATTCACGACCATGACGTGTCCCTAGGGTACATTTTCCAACTTTCACGCTGTTTTTAGACTAATTATTCATGCCGAAATATATAAAGCCATATTTTTATGTCATCAATGGTTATTAAACTTACAAAAAAGGAGCATATTATAATTTAATTATCATTGCAAACAGACTACCATGACAAAATAAGTCTGTCCCTCGATTTGGCGTCACGACCATTTGGGAAACATTTTCTACTTTGGAGCACGACAGTGGCAAGCCTGGCGTCGATGGAGTCATTTGGTTTTAGAGACTAGTTCGGGGTGTACGTCAGGATTTTAGTACCGGTCGTTTCGAGTTGAAAGGATGAATTACAAGATTAATAAAGGAAAGATTGTGTTTTTTTGTAATTTTGGTGTGTCTATGACCGTACGTAGTCATTCGATGAAGTAGACATGGTGTTAATTTTTGTTTATAAGATATTTCAATTGCTAGATTAATCTAGAAGTCCACTTTGTATCCTCGAACATGAGGTGCAGGGCTACCGCCAGAACAGAGCCAAATAACACGTAATTTCACGACCAAAGTTTCACGACCATCGCGGGTTTTTTCTATTTATTATTACTAAATAGAATTACCTCAATTGATTCCTTGTTGACAATAACTTTAATATAATTATAAATTGAACAGTTTAGTTCAATTGAAACACATATTTTTATTATAACTAACAGTATAATTGAAGGATTGTTTAGAAAGATTTAGATTATTTTAGAAAATTGACGACCGTACCGCTTGTCCCTGACCATCACGTTTATGATTTCTATCATAACAATTTCAAAATTTAAAATATCGTCATATTTCAATGTTTTATACACAAAAGAAGCACATCTCTATACAAACATAACGATTTTTCGGGTCTCAGGTAAGTTTTTTCAGAGTTATACATACTTAAAAAGATTTTATTGGCTTTTTTCAATTTTTTGAGTTTTTTTTATTTTTTTCTAGAAAGACCAAATATACCAAAAGCTCAGTGACCTTTTTATTGTATAATGGTCATAAAAGTAAATTAGTTTATAGCAAAACATAGTTATAAAAATAATATTAACTATTTTTAATATTCATTTAAACGTCTGTTATGGTCGTGACAGGATTTTGTGTTTTTCCACTAAAGATGCTCTTTTAAAAAAAAAAACTACCAAAGATATTGCGTTACCATGGACATTTTATGAAACTTAAAATGTTAATAAAATAAAAAAAATAATAAAAGTTTTGAAAAAAGGGGGAAAAAATTGCAAAGTGCTTTTCCTGAAAACGTACGTTTTTAAATTTTCACTCATACAGGGTGGCTGAAAATTAACTTGCACCCTCCTTAACTTTTCAACCATTTGAGATATTTGAAATCGGTTTGCGGCAACATTCTTAGATATGAGGGGCTACAATAAATATGGTCAATTTTGAAAACTTTGCCCTTAGGGCTTAGGGTAGGGGGTAGCTCAAAATTTCCAAATGACAGGTATAGTCAATTTTGGTATCATTTTACAGGTCTTGATGAAACATAAACATTGACGTAAAGATAACCAAAATCGGCTCACTAATAACAAAATGGCGCCCTAAAACGTTTCAAATCCAAACGACCATGAGGGCGGCCAAAAATTAACTTTCACCCTCTTTAACCTTTTGACTATTTGAGATATTTGAAATCAGTTTGCGGCAACTTGTTTTGATATGAGAAGGGCTACAATAATTATGGTCAGTTTTGAAAATTTTGACCTTAGGGGTCTGCTACCCCTAAATACAATGACCCCAACCCAAACATTCACCTGCGTGAAGTAAAAACGCTCTTACTACACTTGTAATGTAAATAGCTATTACATGCCAATCCCGTACGAAGGACGGGTACTCTGCTAGTAGATATATATATATATATATATATTGTTATTGTATACATCAATGAGGGCTACTTTAAAATGTTACTAAGTAAATCAAAATACCACAGTACCCTAAAAACATTTTATTTTATATTACTTACATGTTTCGGACATTAATGCCATGATCACAGTATAGTACATAACCTATTACTGTAGTTTCTTTTATTTACAAACATTATTAGATATATTTCTTGTTAAAGAACAGGGGATAATTTTTTTGTTAAGGGAAGGAGGTGTTTTCTTTAAGATTTATAATTTCATTGAATATTACGTTTTGATTTGGAATTTGTGTCAAGTTTAGTAAATAAATTGTCTTTGTCATTAATATGATGAGTATAAATATAAAAGTCTTCTTTTGCATTCATTTTTTCACCTTTATTTTCAACGTCCAGAATGTGCATATTTTTATTCATTTCTGAGTATGTATGGTCGGTCTGAAGTATATGTTCGGCCTATGAGGATTTTTGTGTTGTCATATTGTTTGATCTTATTGCCTGTATATGCTCTTTGTACCTGACTTTGAATGTTCGACCTGTTTGACCAATATAGTACTTTTCACAGTTGTTACATGATAATTTGTAAATTCCCGATTTCTTATATACATTTGGGGGGTTGGGTCTCTGATTTGTTCTTTTTTGAATTATGTTAAAAGCGTTATTCCTTGTTTTAAAACTTAGTTTAAATTTTGAGTTCGGTAATGTCTTTCTTAAGGTTTTGTTTAAGGATGAGCTGAATGGAATACATATAATTTCTTTCTTTACGTTTACTTGTTCTTCTACTTTCATTCTTTTCGTTTTAGCGAATTTCCCTATAGGGAAGTAGCTATTACCGTAGGTCTCATGGTAAGACTTAGGCCCGGGACCTATTTACTTTTTCATTTTGATGTCCCCAGAGGCCAAAAACACCATTCGTTCAAATTTTTATATATGTATATATATATATATATATATATGTGTCCGTGAACACGATAACTTGAGTAATTTTTATCCGATTTTGATGAAATTTGGTTTGAAGGTGTAAGGCGGGATAAACTTAAACGAGTTCGCGATCCAGCATGATCGGACCATGGGAACAGGGTTTTATGGGGGGTTTTATGGGGTAAAAATTGGTTTTTCTCACTTTTGACCCTCAAAATACAAAATTTCCCAATTTTTCTCCAAACCACCTTAAAGAGCTTAAAAAAAACAAACAATTCAGTATATCAAAGTGTTTTTGTACGGTTATTGGTTACGGAGAAAACTAAAAAAATGGTAAATTTAAAATTCCCATGTTATTCTTATGGAGAATATTGTTAAATGTTGTAGTTTGCTTGTTTATGGATATGTTTTGATCAAACTTGGCAAATTTATTTATTTATAGTAAGCTATAAATATTTTACTAAAAACACACTACTTTATTAGTTTCCTTGTAGCAGCAAACCTAGGTACTCGTTAAACCTAATGTTATTTAAATAGATCAATTAAAAAACCAATTCAGCCAAATGGAAATTCGCTTAGTTGGCAGGTTTGCTGCGGCGGGGGTATTTTCATTTTTTATTAATTTTTCAATCATTTTTTAGCGAATTTCCCTATAGGGAAGTAGCTATTACCATAGGTCTCATGGTAAGACCTAAGCCCGGGACCGATTTACTTTTTCATTTTGATGTCCCCAGAGGCCAAAAACACCATTCGTTCAAATTTTTATATATCCATATATATATATATATATATGTGTCCATCCGCACGATAACTTGAGTAATTTTTGTCCGATTTTGATCAAATTTGGTTTGAAGGTGTAAGGCGGGATTAACTTGAATGAGTTCGCGAACCAGCATGATCGGACTATGGGAACGGGGGTTTATGGGGGGTTTTATGGGGTAAAAATAGGTTTTTCCCATTTTTGACCCTAAAAACACAAAATTTCACAATTTCTTTTTAAACCATTTTGTAGAGCTTAAAAAAACAAATAATTTAGTATATTGAAGCATTATTATGCGCCTAATTGTTACGGAGAAAATTCCAAAAAATTGTAATTTTAAAATTCCCATGTTATTCTTATGAAGAATAAGTCAACTGTTGTTGTTTGCTTGTTTATGAACATATTTTGATCAAATTTGGAAAATTCATTAATTTCTTACTAAACCACAGTACCTTTTAATATTTTACATAAAAAAAACTTTTTTACCCCCCCCCCTGTTGCAGCAAACCTAAGTACTCATTAAACTAATTCTGTTTAAATTGGGAATAAATGTGATATTTTTAAGGAGACATTTTAGGTTAAATCCAATCAGGCAAATGGAAATTCGCTAAGTCTGCATGTCTGCTGCGGCGGGGGTATTCTTTGTATCCATTTGTTCCTGCAATTTTTTTTATAGTTTTCTTTTCTATTTCAAAGTTGTCTTTAGACATTGGTATGTTAAGTAGTCTAAATACCATTGATTTGAATGTAGAAATTTTGTGTTGCCAAGGATGGTTTGACTCAAATGGATTGATTAGGTCAGTTTGGGTAGGTTTCATATATATATTGAAATTATGTCGATTGTTTTCTTTAGTAATTGTTATGTCTAAGAAATTTATCTTCTTTTCTTGTGTCTCCATCGTAAATTTAATTGTTCTTTAACAAGAAATATCTAATATAGTTTGTAAATAAAAGAAACTAATAGGTTATGTACTATACTGTGATCATGGCATTAATGTCCGAAACATGTAAGTAATATAAAATAAAATGTTTTTAGGGTACTGTGGTATTTTGATTTACTTAGTAATATATATATATATATATATATATATATATATATATATGTGTAT